TTTATTTTATTTCTAAAATGCTGATCACTTTCTAACGTGGACTAGCCAATTGTGTGAGCAAATAACTTGCCTCTTCGTGCTCAATTGTGTGAGCTAGTGGAAGAATAACCTGACCCCCAAAACCTCCTGATCGGGCCCCTGGCAAGCTACAGGGACCAGCTTTAATGGCAGCAGCTGAGTAGGCATCAATGCTGCTATCTGCCCATTCTGATCGGTGCTCCCTCAAGAATCTAAGAAGAATTGCTGGAGGGACATTCTACAAGGACCGAAAGAGGGTATGAGACAAGTAAATACAGTGAAATAAGATGGAAATTGGAAAGGAAAAACATCAATTTATATTGAATAGTAATTAGGTGTATACCTGTAGCAACATGGATGCTTTGGCACATAGCACAGAACTGCTCACAGAAGGAAATCCATTGTTGTTATAGCCAAGGTTAGCACCCATCATCTTACTAGGGGAGGAATTCACCAGAAGGGTGACATCATCAATGCCATCACTTTCTAACATAGACCAGCCATCATCTGCAAAGCCATTGACAGCCTCATTAAAGCCCCTGCGCAAAAAGGAAGTTTAAAGTTAGATCACCATAACTAGCCAATTATATAAAGCAAAGGACAATTAGTGATACAAACTTGCTCAATCTTTGACTCAGTGCACGTAAAGCTGCAGGCCTTCTTCCCCATCCTGTTACACTTGGCTGAGAAACCTCTTGAGAAATCTGCCTCAAATGACGTAAGGCCTGATTGACAATTACAATTACAATAGTCCTTAGCTGGTGAAAATACACAGGCTTATAAAATCTACACATTTATGATTCCAAATCGTTTGAACAACCATAAGTGTGTAGTGAAAGCTAATAGGCAGAAACAATCGACTTACCGCCATAGTTGTCCTCTGAGCAAGCAGCATTGATGACTCATAAAGTGGGCGTAAAACTTCAGGTACACTCCATGGCTGAGCCAGCAAGTCAATTGTAATTTATCAGGCAAGTAAGAAGGAACAATTTCACATCACTTTCTGGAGATATTTATTTGACAAACCTCTAGAACCATATGATCAACAATATGGATAATGGATCCCCCTCCTTCGCAAGGTCTTATCAGATACCCACTTGGCAGCATGTCAGCTCTAACAAAATGCTGCACTGGGGGCATAGCAGGACCATTCTGAGTATTGTTGAGAGATCTTTCACAGACCTGACATTGTTTAAATTACATGAGCGTAAGTGTTAGGCTGAGGAGGAGAGTGAAAAGTACAGAACTGTTCTGAAAATAATTAAGAACTGTTGTCACATACCACAAGACTACCATCCTCCAAAATTGATGTGTAGCGCAGCAACCAGAAGTCACGACCAGGTGCTAAAGTTGTTGGTGCATACAACTGATCAAAAGGGCATATGTTGAAATTTGCATTTAGCAAGGCTTTCAAGTAGACTTATTTACTCAGAGAAGCAGAATACATTGTTAGCTATAGACTATAGTACCTGCATGTAAAGCAGCTCAATGGTTCCACCATTTCCAGTGGACATGACATTTAGAACATCAACAGTTCGGCAATCACGAAACCATGAGAGCCTATCTTTGAGGATTTCGGCAACCTGCACACGAACATTTTCATTTTCAACCAATGCATCCCCACTTAATTCCATAGGATTAGTCCTCAAACTAAAAGCAAAGAGGAAGGAACTCACCCTGGCAGGTTCTAGACCTACAAGGCCGCAGGCACGTGCGGCCACTCCAGGGCAACCGTGAGAAATAGCAACGATTCCAATGGAATCCGGACCAGGCTACAACCATCAGAACAAATGTTAAGACTAACAATACGAACACAAAAAATAGGCCAATGTTCAATATATTAAATATTGCAAAACACCAGAATAGTGCCTTTCAAATTAGCACACAGACAACAACTGAAATGGTAAAAGTAAAATGCCATCTACATTTCACGGTAACTAGAGAAAACCACCAAATCATTTTATGTTTCTTTTTGGAATTATAAAATAAAATCAATTTGCTATGCTTCAAAGGAAAATTAATATGAGGCTTTGACAAATTACGATATAAATAAGAAAAACTGTTGAGTGCGTAGAGGGTAGGAGCTAGGAACTAGGGAATGAGAAGACAGGGTTTAATTAACAAGTTGGTTTGGTTAATAGAAGGTGGATGTACTTTTTTTCAGTAAATGGAAATTGAATTAACAGTTTAACAGAAATGAAAAGGGCAGTGCGGTAACCTTCATCCCAGGCATTTGGACCCACTCGACAGCAGTTCCAGTGGCCTTTGAAAGAAACTCTGCTAAAGTCTCCTCTGCAATGGACAAAAGTCTGCGGAATAGAGACAAGGACAACGCAAAGCACGAGAATAATAATATTCCATCAGTACAAGGATAGAGAAAATACATAGGATCCAACAAGAAACGTGAAAAAACCATGCTTTTCTTTTCGGTTTCAAAGTTTACTATTCACTGTTCACTCACCCCGCAGGGCTAGCATCCCTTGGTGGATGCTGTGGCGTCAAGTGCCGCTGACCGCTCGTCACCACCGACTCACAGCTCGTGTCCGTCGTGGCAAGCGTCGCCTGTGATGAAATAATTGCAATAGATATGAATATGAATCACCATTTCAATAAGTATGTGATGAATAAAGAATAAAGTATGGAATTATTACGTTCTGTGTCTGTTGGCGGAAAAAGCTGTTTTCATACACCAGCTGTGACACCTGCTTCTGCAATCTGTCGTTTTCCTCCATGAGTAACTTATTCATTGCTGTTAGCTTCCTGTTCACACCTTGCAGCCGTGACGCTTCTTTCCGTTGCTTCTCTCTGCACCTGCAACAACCAACAATACACCATAATTACCCCCATGAAATTATTAACTGCAAAATTGAAAGGCCTCAAATCATGAACCAAGACCAACAAGAAGAGAAAAGAAACAAGGAAAAACGGGAACTTTGGTTGGTGGGTCATGAAAAATTAAAAGTTTTTTCTTTTGTCCAAGAAAATAGAAAGAAAGTAAAAATCTTGGTTGAAGGGAAGAAAAGGAGACAAAAAAATGAAGAGAGGATAAAAAATAATAGAGTCAGATTTACACAAATCAAACAACCCTTTTGATCAATTAAATTACTTTCAATTTTCAACATGACGTTATATGTATGCACATGAATGTTGAAAGTTAAGCATATATGTAAAGTGAAGGTGATTAGAGGAAGAGAAAGAATTGAAGAAGGAAAGAGAAAAGGGTAGGAGGAAATTAATTACCTTCGGTTTTGGAACCAAACCTTGATCTGTTTGGGTTCGATGTTTGAGAGAATGGGACACTCTCTGATGAGTTGCTGGCGGCGGAGAGAACTTGGTTTGGGGCATTCATGGTAGAGCCTTTCCAGTGCTTCCACCTGTTCAGGGGTGTAGCGCACGTACTTGCCGTTGTCCATTGCCACCTTGCTCCCATCTTTGCAAGCCGAACTCACCGCCATCATCCCTTCCCAATTTATTGTCTTTATTTATTTATTTAAATCACGGAAAGAAAACAAAACAAGAAGTTTCATCAATCAGAAGATGCCCTGAGGGACTAAGGGAGTGGTCTGGGGTCAGTTGGAATTGGACATGAATGAGAGAGAGGGGAATGAAACTGCAAACTTAAAAGAGGTACTACTCAGAGTTTGTCTGTCACAGTTGCTGGTTGTATTGTATTATATTGGATCATCATATATGGAGGAGGAGAGAGAGGGGGGGAGAATGGGAAGTGAATGGAAAACGTAGTTTTTCTTTATTTTGTGTGTGTGTGTGTGTGTGTATAAAGAATGGAAAAGGACGAGTGCGGGGTATGTTGGGATTGGGACAGAGAGATGGGATTGCTTGTAAGAGAATAACCCCAAATATCAGACAGAATAAGCGAACATTTTTTGTTTTCACATCATTCTCCCTCTGCTTTCTGTTCTTCTTTAGCTGTTTTGCTTGTTGCTTTTGCTGTTGCTTTTCTTGCACTACTTCATTTTGGCACTTTCCAACACTTGGAAAGGAAACCCCACTCTCTCTCTCTCTCTCTCTCAAAGGTTGTGACTTATGAGAAACAAATGGAAAAAAAAAATGCGAGCCACACTCTCGCTCACGACGCGTGCGCTGTAAAACTATAAAGTATTATTGGACGTTAGAGAATGAACAATAGACAAAACCAGATACCGTTTCGTTTCATTTCTATGTATGCCACTCCACTGTCAAAAATGTGCCATGTCCTTCCTTTACATCAAATATACTCTTTGCCCATGCTGCATCATAATTTATACCATATATGCATGGTGACCGATTTGGTTCACAAATTACAAGCTATGTTTTGTTTCTATTTGCTTTCCTTTTTTCTGCTCAAAATCAAATACAAATTACTCCATTCGTCGACATGCCAGAATGATCTCAAGTGTATATATTTATACCTCAAACTGATGCAAAGATTTCGTAGATCACGTGAGCGACGAAGAAGACAAGACAACTGTATTTTTGTTGTCTTTTCCTCTCAGAAATTACAAGCATCTTTCATGATATAATCAATTACAAGTAAATAAATGAGATTATTATGAACAATGAAATATTCATTAGTTTTTGCCTTTTTGTTTGTATGTTAATGAAAAAACAAAGCAGAATATAGTCCTCGTTATACGAATAAGCATTAGTTAGTAGTACGTAAATGACAGTAATTTTTAGGAATGTATATTTTGGTAGGTATATAGTGTGTGTTTGTGAGAGGAGAGAGAATAATGGAGGGTTGAGATATAAACGAGCTCATCATTTTTCTTGACTCCATAATTATGTCTGTGTCGCCTGAATATGATATTTGGAGAGTATTAGAGGAGTTGTTTGATGGAGTTGTACGCGCATCACTGAGACAACATTATTAGGGTTTTCTGCATGCGGGCAACATAGGTTTAATTTCAAAATGAATCACCACTTCATCCATATCTGTATACACTCACAATATCTTCTGCATTTAGTGCTCAAAACCTACACTCTCACTCACATTTATCCTCCGTTTGGAACGGGAGGTTGATACAAGCTAGTGAAAAAGGAAAAGAAACGGAGAGAGAAAGACATACAAAATGGGGGTGATTTGAATTAAAGAAAATAGAATAAAAATAAATAAATATTAACGAAGAGTGAGTTATTTATTATTATTTTAATATTAATTTTTAACTTTTTATAAATTTTTATCCACGTGGGAATTAGAAAAAATGGATTGATCAAAGATTATTAGGAAAAAAAAAGACACGTTTTAATAAAAGTAAGAAAACGTGTTGTTTATTCGATATTTTTATTTAGCATAGTCTTTAGGTAAAATTATTAAATCTAATATCATAGTTTTATATAATAATATCAAGTCTGGATTAATTATTTTAGGAAAAAAATATGAAAAGCTAAAATTAACTTACATAAAAATTTAACAAATTATATGAAATAATTTCTGCAAATTGATTTATAATAGTTAACTTTTTTTCATCTAAAAAATTCTTCTGGAGATGATGATAAAGTTGTTTATGATTTTTCTCTTCTAATTATGAAAAAAAAACAATTTAATTTTATCAATTAAACTAATATTAAGTTAATAAAAGTGAATCCAAAGTTTAATTATGATATGTTTCCAATCCATAACTAAATTATTAGATTATATATTTTTGAAATAAAATAAAAAAACGTTTTTAAAATGAAAATTGGAGGGGAAGGTGAGAGGACCTTGAGAATATCTGTCTCTGACCATGCCATAAACATGCATGATAATGTTAAACTCAGGTGGGAAAGTTAATTATATAATTAATACAGTGATACACTGGTAAAGTATATTCTACATTGGCACATGGAGAGAAAAAGGTTCCTCTTTCATTTTCATTATTATATATACACCAATTGTTTACATAAAAGAGCCTCGTTCAAGGTCACGAATACTTATTTTCCTATTCTGTTTGGTCGACATTGTATCTTCCTGGTTTCATGTTGGTCTTGGTCAAGATAATTATGCATGCTAAAGTCTAAACAGGGTTGCTTATTTTCGTGTATTTCAATTTCAATTCAAATCACAATTGTAAATCTTTACAAGACTTCAGAGCAAGGAGAATCCCGCCCCATACGCTTGTTAATCGTAGACTACCATTCAAAGTTGAAATTCAGTGGTGCAACTAAATACACACACAATTAACAACATCAATATAGACATGTTTCAGCTGCAAAAGAAACAGTAATATCTACTTATGTTCTCACCACATATCTATCTTTTATTCTTTTCACTTCTTATCATTCTTTTTTCTTTTTTTTTTTTCTTTTTTAATTTGCTCGTGTGAATTATATATTCAGTGTGGAACTAATTCAAGAAACAGCATTTTCTTGGAGAAAATTTTTTAATATTAAAAAATGAAAATATTAAAAAGAAGTTTAGCGTAAAACAGAAAATGGATTGGTCAACACGCTCTTACCAAACAATTTGAGTCTGTAATTGCAACTAATGTATGACATTTTGATAATTGCCGCTCAACATGAATATTGCGCACTAATTGCATCTTATCAAATAAATGAAGGACACGCAGGTACAGTTTCTATCTCACTGTTAATTCAATTAACCATACATTATTGCTATATAAAATCTTCAACACCCACTAAACTAAATATCCGTCGTTTCAGTTAGGTTCACGAGACCAAAACATTTCCTCATTCATTAGTTATTAAGTGATTAATGAATTTCGCACATAATCTTGCAATTAAAACAATTATTATCGAACAAGTCAAAAGAAAAGCTATTCGGTTATACAATAAATAATCAATGATCTTTCTTTCTTCTTATTTTTTATTTTTATTTTCATTTTACGTATATGATTAACATGGTCAATCCATCCTAATCGCGTGATTCTCTTAGATGTCTTTAGGGTTGAAGAATATTTGTTGTTTAGTATGTTGAGCATCCAATAAACTAAAGCATCTTTGAGGCCAATTATAACTCGCTTTACAACCCCAATTACAAACATAAATATACACCTTCATCATCTTCTTATTCTTCTTCTTCTTCTTCTTCTTTTGTGTGGCAATGGTTGTTTTATTATAATATGATTTGATATGATAGAAAAGGTAGCACTACTTTTTGTGTAAAATTTGCTGGAGGAAAAGAAGAGCGCGAAGTCAATGTTACTGGGCGAAAATGAACGTGTAAAGTGAATAAAAAAGGAATTAATGTATCATCTTCCTTCTTTTCCAAACTTGTCCACCATGGTTAAATGAAATTAAACAAGTAAAAGATATTGCTTTAATGGGGGTGATGGAATGAATGAAAGTGATAAAGTGGGAATGAGCATAGCTTAAAAGAGAAGCAGAGAGTAGGGGTAGGGCAACCCCATCGCCAATAACATTCAAACCCTGTTTTTATTATTAATATTAGAAATGGTAGAAAAACATTACATGGTACTGATGCTATGTTACATTATATGTGTTGTGTGGCGTGTGATTGACGAGAGCAACAGAGGGAAGGGTCCACATGGAACCCACAACACAACACAAGCACAGAGAGAGAAAGAAAATAGTGTGGGCCCGCACGCGTGAAGGACAATGTCGCTTCACTGCGTGCAATTTACTCCTCTCTTCTTCTCACTTTTTTACCACCATTGTTAACTCTCCTTTTTTTCTTTCTCCTCTCAAACATAATCAATATTCATGTTTTTTTCATATTAATCATTTCTATTTATAAGACACGTATCAATATTTACGTATATTCCTATCCTCCAACTAACCATTAGATTTTCCTATCTATTTTCGTAAACATTACGTTATCTCCTTGATTTTTAATATAAGCATCTCTCAAACTTATCATTAATCCAAATATCATAAATAATGATGACAATGTCTTATAAGAATTGAAAATTAATTAACATAAGAATTGATTTTTTAAAATGAATCAAGAAATAAACAGAAGGATGTTAGAATAAGGTGCGACACATTCCATGCGTGGGGTCCACAACTTTGTTCCTTTCGGCGTGTGTTTGTGTTTGTACGTTGCTCCTCCCTTTGCCGCCGTTACCATACGAAACCAACCAACACACACATTCTCTTGGAAGAGCGTGCCTCTGCTGCCACTTCATCTTTTCTGTCACGCACTTTCTCTCTCCTTTCTTCATTTTCTTATTTTTCTATTCTCACACCCCCTTTTTCTGTTTCCACGCTTATCGTCAACGGAACGCACTTTCATTCCTCCACTATCCTCCAAACTCAACTTTTCAACGTTTCTAATATTTTACTCCCACTTTTTCAAATTATGTCAATTTTTTTTTTTTTACAATCTACCTTCTTCTACAATTTCATATTATTGTTTTGACAAAATACTTTATTTTCTTACATTATTCTTTTGTTTATATTTCTCTACTTTACACTGTCTTACTCACCGTTTTAAGGCAACACAAATTCATTATTAATATATTAACTAAATTTTTTTTAAAACCTTTCTTTTATATATTCAGAATGTGCGTTTGAAACACCAATTAGTACATTAAACACGCACAAAGTACTTCAAAAACATTAGTTACAAAATCATTCACTAGTTTTTATTTCTTTAATTAAAACTTTTGTTTATTAATTCCTATATATATATATTTGACAATAGAAATGTTTTGTTAAACTTTAAATAAGTATTTCTGAAATGGTGTAGTTTTAAACTAAGTAGATTAACGCAAAGATATTGTAAAAAGATTTAAATTATTGGTGAAAACATGAAATAAATCCTAATAAATGTTTTTTTTTCTTTTTAACTCTTTCTTTCCCATTCTTTTCACATAAAGAAATATTTTAGAATCTGTATTGAAATATTTTCATAAGACTCTTTATAACTTATCCATACCATTAAATTCGGCTGACATTTTTGTGATTTTTTCTTCTGTTAATTATTGTTTTTCTCTATCCATTAAAATTAAAATCAAGTTCTTCACAGTTTAAAAAGATTAAGCTTAATATTTTTCACTCATTGACTTCATTTAATCCTATTGAATGAAAAAAAAATAATAATTAATACTTCGCCGTAAAAGTACTAAGAGTTGCTAAAACAAGTAGCACGACTGGACTTGCTTTTACATATCAAATAAAATAAAAATAAAAAATTTAGCTATTTATATTTTAAAATCAATTATAATTTTTAGTAACAACTAACATAATTAAATCAATTAATGATCAATTTTAATATAAATAAAAATTATTAATATGTTTATACTAAAATATATTAAAAATAAAAATATATTATTAAAATTTAGATTTATATTAATAAAATTATTTTTATTTAATATATAAATTATAAAATAATAAATCTATTTCATATCAAAATAATAATTAAGACTTATTTTTCAATATAATCATAATTTCATAAATTGTTTAATTTATTGATATAAAAGAATAATTAATCTTAATTATTATATATTAAATTAAATGGTTATTAAATATTTATTTGTATAACAAGTGAATTTTTTACAAAATTAATTTAGAATATATATTTTTTTAATAAAATAATATTATTATTTTTTACTTAAAAATAATTATTATTTTATAAAAATGAGACCATTCATAGTCATATAGTATGATCTAAATGCATATAAATTATGATATATCAAGTTAAAATAAACCATATTCAATTTAAGTTATAATTGTTTTTTAATTTATCTTTTTTTTCGATCCTTCAAGTCATTATATCATATTAAACCTATTTTGATGTTGATAATTAATATTTTAATTTTTTTGTTAGTATTAGTGTATAGATTTTGTTGATGGTTACACTTGAGACAATAAAGAAATAGATTAGATTAGGACGTTGTCTTGTAATATACATTGTTGGAGGGGGCAATGAGGCTGAAGAAGAAAGTGGAGCACATGATTGTTATAAGCTACTACCAATTTGCATGCATAATATATTATTTATTCACAATATATTCCATAAACTACTCAACTAAACACATTACTTGTTGTAGAGTTGTATACTAAAATTGTTACAAAATGGAAGCAGGTCCAAGGCATTGGTGGTTTAAGATTCTTTGCTTTTACCCTACATTCCCAAACACGAGTTCATCTTATCGGGGAATGGGAACTGCTACAACACCCTAGACACCACACTCACCCTACTTACTCATCATTTTTTTTTTTCATTTTTTTTTTAATAATGCATTTTCCTACACTAGGAAGTAGGAGCACCCGAGCCCACGATGTGTGGTATTTCTCTAATTTAATTCCGCATCGTCAAATGGACACCAAAATTGTAGCCCAATAAATGATGGGCTAAGCGCACTTCAACCCATTCATCACTTTCGTATTTTAAAAAAATCAAAAAATTTGTTTGTGGGCCTTTCTTTCTCTCTAATCTCTCTATTTCTATCTTCTTCGTTCTCTTCTCTGTTGTAGCTCTCGTTCAAGAGTAATTTGTTTTTTTCACTCAATAATAGTACTGTGACTACTTTCTTTCTTGTTCTTCTTTTTTCTTTTTACTGATATATGGGATTTAACTGGAAACACTCTTGGGACATGTTGGCAAGTTACATGATCGTGCATAAAACAGCCAACGTCAAATTGTGCAAAAAGATTATTCTCAAACGTGATTTCAATAAATGGAATTTGTTTACTAATTCTTTAAGCAGTAGTGTTAGTAGGAAAAAGTAAGAACACCCCGAACCCAACTCACGTGGCAGTAGGCACGTGGTCTCACGTTACGGTAGGCTCGTATAGGATATTTAAAATGAGGGAGGGAAGGTAGTAGAGAAAAAAAGGCTGTGACGAATAGATTCTGGCCACGTGTGATTGACCACCGTCAGTTATGGCTTTTGCCACGAGCCAAGCACTCACATGGTCGCTGACACAGTGACACACCACCCATCCTTCTCAATCACGTGCCCCTTGTGCCCACACCACTTTAATATTCATAATCACCCATCTCTTTTTTAAATACCAACATTTTAAATATAATTCATATAAGGTCGGTTAGTAACCATAATTTTATTTAATTAATTAAAACAAGTTTTTCAATTCAAAATTATGCTCTATAATTAACCCAGATATATTGTACAACATACATGTGATGTATCATAAATTTATGAAATAAAAAAATTAAAATAAAGAAATGTCACGTGTTTCCATCTTTATTCTATAAATTTATGCAAAACAATTTGTAAAGAGAAAAAAAAATATGAACATTTAAAATTAAAGAGATAAAAATTACACCCATTTTTCATTTTAGAAATTTAACTCGTGAGTTCTTGCTTTTTCTCATGGTGACGTTAGGTATGGGCTGGGCCTACGTTCAATACAGCGATCATGCTTCGCATACATTTTACATATTTTTATATCTTTGTTTAATATTGTAATTTAACTTATCTACGGATTATTATTTTTAAGATACAAAATTCAAAAATTATTTTTTAATATAAATACATTTTATTTTATATGAAACAGTTAATTGATTTAATGTTGTATTAATTGTTATATTTATATTTGAAATTTTTCATATGTACAATCAAGTCAAGTATGATGTCCCCGCATAGAGAGTGAGTTATAATATTTATTTATGGCATCAATCAAGTGATTATTAGTTTGCATGTTATGTTACAATTGTAATTTATTACTAGTTAATTAAGTGTTATTTAATTAAACGCCTAATTAAGTATTGTTGACTTGTAGAGATGAAGATACATGACAACATTTCCTTTCTCTGCAAAGCACTGAGTCAGAAAAATTGAACATAGCTAATACTTTCACATTAAATATCATCATCCCTTAAATTTTAATCAGAAAGAGTTTGTAATATCAAATTAGTATAGTATATCAGATTATTAATGTACACAATATCCATACAAACGGTCTCATAATTTAATTAGACATTACTTATATTATGAGAAGTATTAGTAGTGTAATTTATACTAGTGAATTTAGTCTCTAAACATAATAATTCTATTTATTGCATTTTAAATGATATGTTTCTAAACTTAGTAATTCATAGAAACTAAGTATTATGTAATTATATTACATGTAGTCATTCATACTTACATATTTAATTTATTAATTATAATTGATATTTTAATTTTGACATAATTATTGTTGAATTTGAAGAGTTAAAGAAAAGTAAGGAATGTATGAGGTGAGGGAGGATTTCTTGGAATTGAAGCAATAAAGTAAATTAAGAGCAAAACCTTATCCAATGTTCATTAATCTGTAGGAGGACTAGAATGGTGGGTTGCATAGGGATTGTCATCATGCCAAATTCAAAGTTTTTCTCACCCTTCCACTTGTCGGTGAATGCCACGTGGCAGAGTGCAGAGGAGTGGATCCATGCGCTCCTTCCTCCACACTTACATCACCATCACATGCATGCCTTCCTTCCTTCTCCTCTTAATTGTTTTTGTTTTCAGTGTCCCAAATTTTGTGCTGTTCAACATAAAATCACACTTGTATGCCTAATTTTTTGGTTTTCATATAAGTTGTTTTGCACAGTAACATTGATGAAAAACTGTGTCCCAAAGAAAATACAGTATTATTATATTTAATGATGTAATAGTTATGCACTAATTAACTTGCTCTTTACTTTTCCATTTGAAGCAGTCAAATGATTAAAAAGTTGGTTATGGCTTCATTAGGTATCGTAACTTGTGTTAGTAAACACTACATTTGATTTGTTTAATTACTAAAGCTTGTCAAAGAGAATCATGTGGTGGTATGCTTTTCCTTTATAATATTTTCTCCTTGTCTCTTGTGTTTTAGTTTTATCTTCTATCCTAAATTTGCTTCAAGGCTGTATTGTATTCCTTCATCAACCCTAATTCATTGACAAAAACATATGAAGAAGAGATTCTCATGTGAATATCTATGACTTGTAGCTACCATTTATTAACTTATTATCATAAACTACAGTGAGGAATTGACTGATATATAAATGATGTGGTGGACCACACAATAATTTTTTTGTCTGAGATTCTTGTTTTAATAAGAACAGTTCATCAGTGCTTAAAGATGCATATATTTACTACTAAGTTAATTGACAAAATATTAATACTATCATATATGGTGAGCATTGAAGAAAATTGCACAAAATTGATAAAAGAAACTCAGTTCCCAAGAAAGAGAGAAAAATTGAAAAGAAAAGGCTGGAGAATCAGGTTGAAGTTGGACACTAATGTTCTACCCTCTCAGAGTCTCAGCTATAAACTTGGTACATCACTCTCAAATGGGCTTAGTTTGACACAAATTAAAGTTACAACTATATATATCCCTTTACCATATTTAATTAACTACTCAACAATACCCAATTAGCCCTCCATTTTTAAAGGTAGCCCTGAGTTTAGAGTTTAACCGTTATAATTGCCAGCCTGTACTCACCACAAAAAAAAACTAATATATATATTTATATATTTAACTCAAAGCTACTGTCTTTTTATAATAAATAATATTTCTCTCTATTAATTAACTATATTTGAATAACTACCCACGAAATTTTCTAAAGATAGATTACTGTTAACTTCTCCATCTAATATATAGTTGACTTCCACACTATTATTAATTCTTTTTTTATACTTTACAATGACTAGTTTGGTAAAAAAAAAAATTATATTATTATAATAACTTTTTATATATTTTTAAATTTTATCAATAGTTTTCAAATATTTCAAATTTTATATTTTATATTTTTCATAAACTTAGGAATATTTATAAAAAGTCACAAATTGTAAATAATTTTAATATATATTATAAAGTTTTGACACATGTATATTCTTACAAAATGACCATCAGATTCAGATTATTACATGTCTTTTCCCCTTACCTCTGAAACGGATGCTAGTAAGTGAAGTCTCAGATATATTCTAAACATAAACATTATTTATGATATACTGCTGAAGACATTTTAAAACGTTGGTACATAATTATTATTTTGTTATGTTAGAATAAGAACCCTACCTTAAGAAAACCTGAGAAAACTTGCAAAACAAAAACCAGAATACAAAAGAAAAAAGAAAAGGGTACCAGCAAATAAGCAAAGTAACTTGAATAACAAATTCTTGCAGTTTCTTTTAACTCAATTAAAGTCTCTTATTATTTATATTTTACGCTTTATTATTTTTTTAGGACTTTTTATTTTTACCTTGAAAAAAGAGGGAGAATAATAATAATAATATATATATATATAAAAAAAAAAAGAGTTGTCCAATGTAGGTGTCCGCTTGTCCCCTTTAAACGCAAATAAACCACAACTTTGTCACACTCCACTAAAAACCACAACTTTGTCACACTTTGTGTCTCCAACTCCCTATACTTTCTCACTTCACCGTCCTCTAAGGTCTTAGCTTCAACCCACGACAAGAAGCCATGGAAGCACAAGAGTTCTTCCAGAACACCTTCTGCCCTCAATTCCCTTCCGACAACATCACACCCTCCACCGCGAACGCCTCCGCCGCAGACCACTTCATCGTTGAAGACTTCTTCAACTTCTCCAACGAAGACGACGCTCCTCTCACTGATGCCACCTTCGACTCCCTCCCTGCTGACCACTCTCCCACCATAACCACCCTAGACAGCACCACCAGCAACTCCAATTTCCCTGCCGCCGACGCCCATTTCTCCGGTGACCTCTCAGTCCCGGTACACACGTGTCTCTAAAGTCTATACATGATGTGTTATGTTAGCAAATGCAATTCATGCCTATGTGTAACGTCCACAATCTCCCACCACCACCAAAAATTCTAATTTTAATAAAATTTAATTATTTATTTTCGTCAATTCCCATGCCACGTCCAATACATACAACAAATCCTTGTCCTTATTACCTATATATGTTTTTCAACTTTTGTTCTTATTGATTTCGATTTTGTTACTGTCCCAATTTCATCTCATTTCAATAACATTGTTTCAAGATAATGAAAACTGTTAATTAATTAAATAAATAATTTTGTGTGTGCACAGTATGATGATCTTGCCGAGTTGGAATGGCTGTCGAAATTCGCGGAGGAATCGTTTTCGAGCGAGGATTTGCAGAAGCTGCAGCTGATATCCGGTGCCGGAGTGCAAAACGACGCTGCATCATCGGAAACGCCCGACCCGAATCCGGCGCTGTTCAACCCGCAAGTGTCAGTTCGGGGTAAGGCTCGGAGCAAGCGGACGCGTGGGACTCCATGCAATTGGACCTCTCGCCTCGTTGTCCTCTCTTCGAACACCACGTCGGAGTCTTCCCACTCCGACGCCGGTAAGAAGCCTGCTCCTCGGAGAAGGGATGTCGGAGAGGGCGGCGGAGAGGGCAGGAAGTGCCTGCACTGCGCGACGGACAAGACGCCGCAGTGGCGGACTGGGCCCATGGGTCCAAAAACGCTCTGCAATGCATGCGGCGTGAGGTACAAGTCGGGCAGGCTGGTGCCGGAGTACAGGCCCGCGGCAAGCCCAACGTTTGTGCTGACAAAGCACTCGAACTCGCACCGGAAAGTGCTGGAGCTGCGGCGGCAAAAGGAAATGGTGAGGGTCCAGCAGCAGCAGTTACTCCATCTGCAACATCAGCAGAACATGATGTTCGATGTCCCATCCAACGGTGAGGATTACTTGATCCATCAGCACGTGGGCCCCGACTTCACACACCTCATCTAATCTCCTCCTAGACTAGGAACCTTCCGGTGGAGCGTCGGGTATTTTGTAGCTACCTACAGTTCTTTTCCTTAATTTCCCACCTAATTTTCCCAGGGATTTATTCTATTTCTTTTTCTGTAACTTCAATTTTTTCGCTTTATGCTATTTGTAGACTCCTCTCATGTTCCTTCAAGTCATTTTGACCGACTTGAAAACTCACCAAGCTCCAAATTTTCCCAATTATTTTTCTCTCTCTCTTTAGATTATATGTTGCAGTGGTTGGCTAAATATATATCTCAAGAGAAATAGTGTTCGACTATAACTTAATACTGAACAGAGTAGGTTCTTGAGTTGAGTGTGTAAAGTCTTGTACAATGTCTGTAAGTAAATAAGATTGATACTTGAAGAAAACTAATTAAAGTGTTTAACAGTAGCAGCAGAGTTAATAACAGTTGCTTTTGCATGGACCACTTCAACCAAGTCTAACTCAATTTTCCGGCACACACTGTTAACCATGTCCAAGCAATTAAAGCCTTGAGCTACCGCAGTACGGTCGGAAACCTCCTAAATTTGGAACGAGAGGGAAAAGAAACAGCAAAAAATTTTTAATATCATGTGATACAGGATAAACATTAGAATGAGTAATTGGAAAAAAAGGTAGAAAATTGAATAAAAAACAATGATATATATGACGACATTTTAGTAACAGGTGAGTGATAAAAATCTCATGCATATGTGTCAGGGCATTATTGGTGGCAAATCTAGGTACCAGTCATGTTCCTGAGTAGTCAGCATAAAATTTTCAGTTTTAGGTAAATGTTCCTTCTCTTAGCTTCTTTCTCCTTCTCTTCTCTCCAATACAACCTCAGTAAAATTGTCACTGCTGCCAGTTACTTTCGTCTTCATTTTTTTCTCTTTTCTTTAACGTCTCAAACTTAATGTGTAACTTGAATATACCTATCACAATTCATGTATATTCATTTTACTTTGTTTTTACGCGTATTTTACAGAAACAAAAATGTTTTTTTTTTCTGATGTTTTTATTCTCTTCTTGTCTTCTTTTTAGAATTTTTTATTATAATTAGTTCCATCGGTATGTATTGAATTTGACATATGAGAATGATTAAATGCTTTTACCAACATTTGTCTCAAATAATGTCCAAATCCATTTTAGAGTCAAGGATGATTCCAAAGTTCAAAACATCATTGAAAGATGCTCCACCAAACGAAGAATCCCTAGTTAATATTAATGTGCACCACTCCTACACTATGGGGTTTGAGACTATTCAACATTTAGATGAGTCCATTTTCTAGTAGAATTATTATATGTCGATGCTCATAAACAATTGTGGTTCCCTTGCATTCATTAAAGTGTCCTAAATATTATTAAGTAATTTCTTCTTCTTTTTTCAAATAATGTCACTATATTGGTAGAAGGTGTTTTTATTTTTATAGGTATTTTCAAAGATTAAGAAGGCTTGACTTAATCAATTTTTTAGGATAGCAATTACAAAGTTAATTAATATGTAAAATATTGTGCAAACTATATATCCAAATTTCTCTTTGGACTGATTTTAGTGACTTTCCATGACCAATATATTGACTAATAGTTACAATTGATAAGAAGATAAGAAGGTGTATGCATAGCACAAAATAAAAATAGTTAATTATACTTTTTCATTCTTATTTTTATTAAAACAGGTAATATAAAATTTCAGTTCACATTTGAATTTTTGAATTTTTAGCTGATAGTGAATGTAAGAAGAGTAAACTTTGTTTGTTGATCTCAAAAGTGTGAGTGGTTGAAGTAGAATAGGAGGAATTTTCATGCACGTGAAAGAATTTGTTCTTGCTTTCTGTAAACCCAGTTAACAATGCATGTGACAGAAGATAGAAGATGGAAAAGGGAAACTTCAGAGCCATTTCTGGACCCCATCACTCCCATGTGAAGGATGTATTTTGAAGTGATTAGGTGATTGGTTAAGTGATGCAATCCAAGAGAAGGAATTTTCATGGATATATGCATTTTATATTATTGCGAGAGTGTATGTACGACCTCAAGCATCACAAATCCAGAGGAATACATTATATTATATCATCTCATACTTCAACAATTAATACATCGTGTTATTAAATTACTGATTTGAATGGCTAAATATGAATCTCGTCTCTTTTTTCCTTTTTCTTTAGCTTGAAATTGTAGGTTGCGTGTTTTGTTCAGTCAATATATTATAAAAAGTCTCAAAAGAATATGCAGAGAATAAAGCAAAAAAGAAAAGGGAGAGGTTTATTTATTCAACTCATTTACCAAAATCTTATTTATAAACAAATGGTGAAGCATATTAAAGTAATAATAAGTGATGCATTATTAGAGTGTGAGGAAGCTAAGATTGCGGTGCTCACATGACACTCTTCCATCCACTCACTGCGAAGGTCATCACGTATACGTATACCAATGAATATTCTACGAATACAGAGTACTATACGTATACATGTGTATGTACCACATACGTATTCACAAGACCTTCATGCATTTATTTAAGGCCATCACGTATGTTGTTTTCCATTATTTTGGAATATTTTTTTCTTCCTCATGCAATCTTGAAATGATTTCTCGGGGATTGATTATGAAGAGCATTTTAAAATTGAGGAAAAGAGAAATTGCAACAACTCTTCGGGATGAGTGAGAATAAATTCATGAATTAGATTACCTTATAATTAATTAATTGTACAATTAAGATAATAGCAAGGTCAGATAAAGATTCTTTGACAAGGAATTTTAATGAAAAATTAAGTCAGTAGTTAACGGAAGTCAAAATAATATAACCACCAAACTTTTTTGCCGCACAACACTTTAAGATTTGAGGGGAATTTTTTTTTTTTTATCGGGGTTAATAAAAAATTTACATGTTTCTGGACTTCATCTCTCACAAAGGCCCAATCTAGGTCCTTAGTTATGACCCATGAAGATACAATAACATTCACTTGTACAAATGATAATAAGCCAGATTCAGAAGGTAGAAGTGGCCGTTCTTAAACTGATAATATAAAGAAAGGAGAAGAAGTTGGTTGAAGCCATTCCAATTCCACAAATGAAATGGACAAGACAAGCCCTTCATAATATTAAGATCATGGCTAGCTGCATGCCATGCCATATGCATAATGGCATTTAAATTTGCAGGTCTCAATGTCAATGACCTTCCAACAAAATAATACTGTTCAACTGCATGAGGACGAGCATGAGCATGGGGGCAGAATTTCCCATGTTCATCAATATTTTATTTATTTTATGCTGGCTTTCATAATAACCACAACACCCTCCATACCAACAAAACTCCATGATGTTATAGAACAGTTAAATAAATTTATCATCTCACATGCAATAAAGAAAAAAAGGTTAGCAGAAGACATGTTAGGAGGAGAATAAAAATTGTTTTATGCAATTTAGAAACATTTAATATGCTTGCTTAGAGTGTCAGGTAGTAAAAACTTTATCATACATTCATTTAAAAATTACGATGTTTACAAAATATTTCTTCAAAAAAATTAAAACACATTTTATCATTAAATAAAATTGATCAAGAGTTACACAGTTACCGAATCCACCGTGGTACAAAATACAAAATAAATGAGGATGATACAATAAATACATCCATGTATATTGGTAAAGGTGTTTTAGTTAATTCTCCAGCTCTACCTTAAACTCTCTTTGGAAATCATTATATTCACTAGTTAGCAGCATTATTAAAATATTTAAAAAAACAAAGGAAAGCAAAGTGGTAACACTTGCGTGTATTATTAGTCATTTTGGATAAATAAAAGAAGCAGAGGCTACGAGGTACGAAGGAGTGAGGCTCTCACATGCAAATGTATGGTTATCACGGAGACAGAGTCTCTTTCGTCAAGGCTGTTTTCAGAGAAGAAGGAGACATTGTCATTGTTTGTCTACACTCCACTTTATTTACCTGCACATCATGTCTCCAAAAAGTATACTCAACATAATTAGGTAACTACTGGATACTTTGAAAGCTGACCAGGTACCCTCCCATTACTCAAAAGTCGGTTCTAACATACATACGTACTTACATACATGTCTCCTGAATAAATCATGTTCAGGAACATGCATGAGCAGCAGAAATGAAACGCAGGTGAATCAGCAATTTTTGTTTTTTATTTACCAATTGAGGTTGGCATAAGTTGATCTTTAAAACAATTAATACTGGAACGATCAAACAAACATTTTATAGGAACCATTGCAGCAGACACAAAAATATCAAAGGATTCTCCCAACTATATATACCCGTCACTACAGTGAACTGTCATGAAAAGTGAAAATAATTAACAAGTTGAGCATCTCAGCCAAGCAAGTAATGTCTCTAATCTGCCAATCAATGGTCTTCAAAATCTCTTATCGCGGTGTGCTGAGACCCATTTCTGAGAAAATTTGAAAAAGATAATAGTTACATAAGAAAATGCTTACAATAGGAAACCTATTCTAGAAAATGGAATGACTAAGCAAAGCAAGTGACGTCTAACACAAACAATACCACACCAAAACTACAAACTACATACAAAGTGATTCAGTTCAACACAAAATGGGTATGAAAATATAAACATAAAAGCTAGCAGCAGACAGCAAGGAATTGAGCTGCAATATGCATCCTTTGGTTTTACAAGGAAATTGAAAAGGAGATCCTTTGGTTTTGCAAGGAAATTTAAAAGAAAAATTATGGATGAATTGTTTGGTTGATGTGGCTTTACATGTGTACTAAGATTCTTATGACTCTTATAGTCATAGCTTCCTCGTTCCAAATGTCATTTCTTACTTCTGAACGGGTTTCCAAATGTTATTTACCACATGGATGAAACCAATGAATTAAAAGCACAGTATTGATGTGATCTAAGTTGCTTATTCTGAGGATGATAGGTAAAGTGTGATTGTGTTTGATAGAAAGTGAACCAGAATTATAGAGAAAATGGGAAAAGTCTCCTGATTATAGGATGATCAGGGTCAGAGCCTTGAGGGTCTGCACTTCCCAAAGGCCCTAACTCTTCATAATTGAAAGGATACTTCCCTCGATCCTCCCTCCCATTTATAGCCAACACAGCATGCCTTATTTCCTAATAACAAAAAAACTAACTGAATCTAACAATTTACTAATTAAGGCCGTTAACTAACATGCAATATAAAAGAATTATATAATCAATACATCTCTTCATTAATGTTATTACATATTCATAAGTCTAACAAAAAAAAAGGTACTTGTAACCAGAGAACATATAACTAACAGCACACAATAGTGGCACTAGAACATTCCCTGATTTGCTACAGGATTCAACTAGTTGGGAGGTTTTTAGTAGTAGGCAAAAGATCGGACTATGATGAAGTTTAGAAACTCATTTTACCCCTATAACAGTGTCATTTTGGGTGGGGGTTGCAGTTTCCCCTCATCCATCCGGAAGTCAGAATTGTTGTATAATCCTAATGTCCTCTGGCCAGACCATGATCTAAACAGTCCTCTGTTCTGTTCTGTCCTATGTTCTCTTAAGACTTAGTTACTGCTTCATCTTTCTATAGAGTTTCTTTTTCTCTTTTCCATTTTTTAGTTTTCTAATTTAATCATATATATCATAGTCCCTCTGTTTCTAAGTATAAGTAGTTTAAGATTGGGTTACACAAACCAAAATAAACATTAATTTTTATGATTCCAATAATTAATGTAATTTTAAACTTTACAAATGACATATATTTAGAAACAATTTTTTCTCAACAAAAAGTCAAATATTTTGTTACATAGGGAGTAATTTTTTTAGTTCATACAATTCAATATCTAACCTAATCTCATGTAACAGCCCCACTATAGCATTTTCAGTGTTTTCCTCCCCAAGATTGATATTTATACTAGAATAGTTTTTTATTTAGTGTGCACTATAAAAAATTAAATACATCTGAAGCCTTCATAATCAAGCTTCGTAATGACAGAAAGGTGAATATTCACCACTAAGATAAATGTCACTCCTACAAGAGTTCTATACAATAATATGGATAATCCATAATATATAATTAATGACCCCCGAGATAGGAAAAATTAAATGCAATAATATTAATTAAAGCGCTGAACATGGTTTAACAAAATATTTTTATTGATTCAAATGTGGTCAATTGTATGTACCGGTACATGCAACCTTCCAAAGTGACATTTAACCATGTAAGAGAAGTAAAAATAAATTGAAAATGTTAGAACCCAAACTTTTTGAGTCTTTTGACCCCTCAACCTGAAACTCGCCACTTTTGAATTGGGTAAAAGTTTGCTTTGGTACATTAATAAAAAAAAAAAATCCTCTTAACTTAGACTTAATATTATCTAAGTGTTTTAATATTATTAAACAAAAATCATATCCTTTATAGCAATTAAAGATCTAAAAATGATTTTTTTTATACTTCCACACAACATTCATCATGCAAAAGTCATTTGCAAATAAATATTTCTAAATATAGTGCATATTTGGATTCACATTGAATCATCCAAATTCATATTGAAATACCAACTAATGTAATTTTAGATAAATGTTCATATGTTTAGTACCACGTCCAGTTGTTGATGATGGGTCCAACATTAATCGAGTTGAAGTACCTCTAGATAGATTTTGCATTGGATTAAAAAATTTATAGAGTTTTACTACTAACTAGCTTTTAGAATAAAAAGTTTCAAACATAAATCACCTTCACTTCAAACCAGTTTTGCTAGGTCACTAAAACCCAGCCTTAGTGCTTAATAAAAGAAAATCACAAAAGATTAGGAACTTAAAAGGAAAAAATGGACACAGAATTAACCATCACAATTTATAGTGCCGATACTCTCCTCCAAATATAAATTTCATTGCTCCTAATATTTTACATGTCGCTAAATTTCGCTTCATTTATTCTCCAAACAGTTCTTCACAACGAATATGAACAACAATATTCTGTGGCCACTCCGTAAGCAAAACTACAATCTTATACAAGCTAATGACCCTGCCTATGTATACTCCTCCATTCCTTCACATTGCAAAGAGCCTCTGACACAAAAGTACGTCAGTTTTTTTTTTTTTTATTCTCCTCTAATTAACAGTTATTCACAATGACACTATATTGCAAAAGCTCACAAGTCACTCTCAAAACAAAAATTGCAATCATGTATAGTTTAAAGAGAACCTGATAGCAACTACCTTGTGTTGCTAAAAATAGACAATGCAAGTTGCCTAATCACGAACAAAATGAAACAAGTATTGAGACTCTACAATGCATAATAGATAGGGATTTGGAAGTCTACGATGATAATGCGGTTAGTTTAAGTAAAACTTAGGATGCCTTATTTTGATTGGGAAGATGGCATAAAGAAAAGAGGGGAAGTTGCAATGAAGCTTACAGAGAAGAAAGGGTAAAAAAGAATTGGAGAAATCAAACTCCGGGGTTGGCACTGCAGAGCATACCCTGAGACAACGACCTCGACCTACTCGAATCGATGCCTAGACAAGAAGTGAGGCGCGCCGATGACACCGCCGAGTGCAGTGGAAGAAGTGACTGCAGGCAACCGAGCTCACCACCCACCCACCTGAACCAAACGACAGAGCATAACATAAAATTTAATTGGGTCAAAGAAAAGGGATTACTTCATAAGTGAAAGACTTGCCTGGCCGTAACGGGAGACCGAGTTTTGAGGAGAAAAGCTGAGGGTGTGGGCTTGGAAGCTGGTTTAGTGATGGTGGATCTGATAAAGGAGAATGCTGGTTGCGAAACAGATCTATAACGAGAAGCCATTGCTACGAGCCTCCAAATTCCAGAGTTAGGGCTTTCACGGGTCACAGTTCAGGAAAGGGTTTTGCGAAGGGTTTTCTCCTTTTCACTATTCTTCTTTTTTGACCTTTTTTTCTTTGTCCTTTCTTTTATCTTTTAATGAAAAAGTAAAAATTAAAGGAATTTGTAAGGTAGAAATGAAAAAAAAATTATATATAAGTCAATTTTAATTTATAAAAAAAATTATTTATTTATTTATTTTCTTGTAAATGCTTGTTAAGTAATTTTATCCAAATAAATTCTTTTTTTTTTCAATTGTTGATTAGTGGATTGAGCTATTACGCTTGCTTATATGATGGGTCTTTTTCAATGCATAAACTTGGGCTTGTCAAGGTTTGCTTTAATAATTATAATTAAAAACCTCTGTTTTACTCATCTTGTGCACCGAATTAAAATGTTTGAAATGTGTTTTATTACAAACTTATATTTAAATAGAACTTTTAATTGTAAATTATTTTAAGCCAAATTTAAATTAAAATAAAGTGTACAAAATATTTTATTTGATTCACAAATTTAGGAATAAATTGAAAATTAAAGGAACGGAAATTAAAAGTATAATTAAGTCTAATTTTAACTTTTTCATTTCAAATATTTATTTTTCTGTTTGATCTAAATATATGTCTAAATTATTTTATTCCACATTTAAAAATGTTATTAAAGAAATTTAAGGATATAACGCAAAATACAAATTTATTACCAAAAAAAAAATTTAAAATTTAGAAACTGAAAAACAAAATTTAATAATTTATCATAAAACAAAACATACTCAAGTCATTTATTTTTCTTCATGTGAAACATTTATCAAGTTCATTATTGTTTTTACATTAATCTATTTCAGAACTTGGCTCTTCTAAAAATGAGAAATTATTAATAAAATGACAAAGTATAATGATTAATTATATCATATCTCAATATATACAAGTCAAACAAGAGTTGCGGCGGAACCCTAACCTAACCTGTGGAAGAAAGAAAATTAAATTATCTTCAACGAAAAATGATAAGAAACTACACCCTTTAGGAGCTATTTTTGGTTTCCATTGTCCCACAATTACTTTAGATTGCTATCAAATAAAAATTTAACAAATGTTCCTGCAAATAAATTCCATTCTTCCAATTATGATATCAATGAGATACAATATATTTATAAGGCTGCAATAATTCTATGCCCATTACTAGTGTAGCTGCAGCTCTATTTAAAAGAATTCAGCCAAGTTTAACTTTCTCTCAGAATTATTTAGTAACTTTTGAACCTCAAGTTACAGTAAAAATGTCTATCCAAACAAATATTTGATCTTTAATCAACCTCACCATGGTACATGTAGTTGACCTCACCCACCTAAAGGAATTAAACTTATCATATATTATTAGTGTATGCTAAGAAAAACAATTATAAAGCGCGTCTAACAGATGCTCACAATTTCACAGCTTAATTTAATTTTATGACAAATTACAGAATAAACATAAAAAAAATATGCTTTTAATATATTAAATACATTATTAAAAAAAAAAAAAAAAGCTTAACCAGGATGACACTGATTAAACTGTCTTCTAAGAATTCTCTAGTTGCTATAGTTGAAGCCTCGGATGCCATCAGATCCAAATAGTAAAAAATAAATAGTTTTTGGTTCATCATGGTAAACAGGATGCTAAAATCCATACAATTAAAGGTAGAAAGGGTAAGGGCTCCGATTAAGAATTACACCTATTGATCCCAACCATACCACAGCCATGTTGCTTAGGCCTCACAGTAAGGATAACTAATCAGGCAATGCTAGATAACGGGATAGAACACTAGACCCAGTGGCAACCAGTATTTATCACGTTAGAACAAGCTTCTGGAATACTGTCAAAGCAGGGGCAATCTACCAGTCACCGCATCCACAGATGATTTTGGTCCTGACAAAAAATGCAGCAATATGAAAAGGTGTTCAATCAGAAAGCAGCACATTACAAAAGCTGTCAACAAAGAAGAAAGGGAGCTTTGAAAAACATCAGCATCAAACCCAAGACTGTAACATTCAATTGCTCAATTAATTGTAGAAGCATTTAGATTTTATTGCACGTGTTTTTGGTCACACATGACATAAATGCAACAAAAACAACTCAAGTACAAAGCAACGGAAAGCTTACCAGGTCCAACAGCGAGAACAGTTTTTGATCCTGCCAAAACCTGAACATATAATAGCGTTAGCAATGATACTATCAAAAGCCACAATGTGAGGGTGTGAGAAAATGAAAGCCAACCCTTCAAGAGTCAATGTTGTTGGATTTCTAAGTTACTTTTAACAATTACACAAGGAGGGTTTGTTACTAAGTATCAACTCTATGCTAGATTTTGAAGGATATACTATACTTTATTTTTAGCCAAATATGACGTATTACCTGTGTTCGTCCTGCATCAGCAACAACAAATGTAGGAAGGCCAATACTCTCAGCTGCTTCCTTCAGTTTACTCCTGATCAAAGAGAAGTCATCAATGTAGGTCTTGTTCTTCTGAAAATGTGTATTTACAGTATCCAGATTAAAATCACATGCTTACATCTCTTGTTGATTCCTGCAAGTCACAACAATTTTGGGCTGGCCGCAGTGTTCCCATTGTCTCAGCAGAGAACGATCACTGCAAAAGTACATGGTGCTTGAGTTTACTACACCAATAAACTTGTTGGTATAATTTATTACATCAAATAATATGTAGCCTGAATGAATTTAACTATTAATAATACAATAGCATGGCTATGAAGTATGGCAAAATCACTGGAATGAAATAATCATCATTTTCATGTTCAATACGAAAAGTTTTAAAACTAAACATGTCAAGTTCCTATGTTCCTTTGCTTTAAGGTAGGGGAGATATTTCCTTCAGTATAAGCAACTTTCAATATGTATCCTAAAAAAAGTGACGACCATGTCATCCCAGTACTGGATTATGTGAAGTACAACCATAACGGTCATCGCACAGAGCTTACAAAATTTGTCCTGAAAGTTTAACAACACGACACTGTCTATTAAACATTATGTTAACCTATATTTGGTCTTGTTTTTTCATGAAGGAGATGATGGTGGGTGGATTGACAGGTTTCAGGAGGGAAACTAATTAGAAACCTAGAAGATGCCTCAATGCTTTGAAATGGACACTTTTCAGAACAAAAGTACCTTTGCAGTAATTCAGCATACATGCCAGTGGCAGCATCTGCAACAAAATGTGAATAGACATAAACTAATAAACAAAAAGGATGCGAAAGAGGAATAATAAATGGGTGGAAATAGATCCTTGACACATTTGAGACAAACAACACTTCACAATTTAACAATGGTTTCAGATCTTACGAGCACATTGGGATGCAATCTTTCCAGATTTCATCTTTAGGTCTTGGCGCACGACCAGAACCTGACACAAACAGTTCATTTTTAATACAACGGTAGATGTTTCTAACAATTAAAAGGAATGCATGTTACATCTATTTACCCTGATCTATGTTTTTTGAAACAGAAGAGCAGCTCAATTAATCTAATTATTGAGTAATTACATTCATGGGTACAAAAACCTTTGAATATACTGACTGCTTCAGATTACTTTTAAAAAAGTAAAAAAAAAAAAAAAATCTAAATCCTGGGTTTTTTCAGTGATTTAGCAGAAAAAACTGTTGACATGTATTTATTTAAGCTTAATCATCAATAATCAAACAATTTCGTTCGGAATACTTTCCTCCCAATTGAGAAATAGCAGATAATAGTAAAGGCACAATTTCAATCATGCATGCCCTTCCAGTAAACTAGAATGACTTTGCTAACGAAATGTACAAAGAGTCAAATACATCAGAATTACAGGCATGGAATAACCATTGGCATGTAAAACTCCTATGATACGAGAGAGTGGTAAATATGATGATATGAACAAACCATTTTAAGTTCTCGGTCATCATTGCTTGAGACTGAGAGTTGCTGTTGAAGTTTGGTAGATGACAAATTTTTCTTGGATAGGTGATTTCTACTGGGCTTTGATAAATCTAACAACAACCCAAAAATGAAACCTATAACAAGACCTGGAATGAAGTTCTCTGCCTTGAAACTTCCTGCTAACCATTCCCCTTTTTGTTTTTGTTGTTGCTACACAAACAACACCAACAACACTCAAGCAAAGAAATAACATATTCAAGGTACAGAACGTATCTCAACTCACAAAATGTAATTTGCATGGTTCTCAACATATAAGGGGTAAAAGTAAATAACTAAAAGATTGGAATTTTGGACACCCCTTTTCTGGGGAGAGGTGCATGGTTATACGAGAGGATGTTGAAACATTTTGCATATCAAATACGCATTAAAAAATGAATCTCTATAAATATTAAACCATGCGGATTTAGTGAAAGAGGGCAATACTTGTTTTGTTCGGTTGTTGGAACAAAAAAAACACAAAATAAGCAGATGGTTGAAGAGAAACAGTAACTAACCTGGTGCCGAGGTTGATTAGAATTTAGGATTGAAGGGAACATTGGGATTTTGCCGTGAAGGGAGAAGGAACATGAATGTAAAGGTTGAATATTTGAAGTTGAAGTGGTATTATCTTAGCCTTAGCCCAAACGGGTAAGCCGGTATAGAGAAGATGAAGATTTACCACTGGCCTCTTTGCCAGTGGAGAGACCACGCCGCATTTGAAATTTACGATTGATTTTTTTTTTTTTTAAAGCAAGAAGAAAAGGTTTTATGGTTATAAACTTTTTTTTTATTATTATTTATATAAGGCTTTAACTTTTCCATTTAATAACTTTTAATTTTAAATTTATTTAATGGATTATTTCAATTGTCGATTTATTATCTTCTAAAAATTAAAAATTTGTAACGACTTTTTTGTTTATCGTTTTTATTTTATTTTATTTTATTTTTAATAAAAAAAAACTCATAATGTGTGCTCATATTTGTTTTGACTATATGATTTTATATAATAAAAATTTTACTTTTTCAGTTCTGGCTTTTTATTTATTTAGTTTTAATATTTATTTTAGATTTTGTGACTTATATTTAGTTAAATCAATCTTTGAATATCTTAGTTGGTATACTCTTCTCTCATGCCACCTCAAAATCATTGTAATTGTATTTCAGTATAGAAATAGGTATTATTTCGTGAAACTCGAGTGAAATTTAAGATGAATAAATTAAAAAATAAAAATATTAGGATTTAAAAAAATTAAGATAGAGATTCAAAATTAGCTAAAACTACATACATAGTTAATTTGAGAATATTAATTTTAATTTTTATATAAATTTAAAATGAAACATAAAATTTTAGACTTTGTAAACTCATGATTTTAATATGTAGAATTTAGTAAAAAAAAAGTCATTTCAACTCATGAGAAAATTATCTTTTCTGGATGTAAAATTAAATATGTAACATTTTACTTAAAATGTCACTATAATTAAAAATATCCAAATTGAAATTAAATGTGTCCTTAATTATTTTTATTTGCAAAGTACGATAAATTTAAAAAATATATATATTGTTTGTTTTATTTTATGATCAAATTTATGCTATGTGATTTTTATTTATATGTAGAAATTGTTTACTACAACTAATTAATTTAGCTTAGTTAATTGAGTTAAACTCTGTTTTACATTGATTTTATGTTATAAAAGTATAGAAAGCTAGACCAAACTTTAAATTAAAAATAGGTATAAGAATTTTTTTTAAAATATCATTTTACCTTTAAAAATATATTAGATTAAGTTTGAAATATCAGATGCAGTATGCATAAATTCAAACTGCTATCTACGTCGCGTGAGTCGCTTTTTTCTTCTCAACCTTTCTTCCTTCTCGTATTCTTGTAATATGCACACGACCAATCTCACTATGACTAAATTTCGCAGTTCTAACTTGTGCTAATTTCGAGCCAAGGGAAAACGATGAAGATGAGCACGTTGGGATAAAAATATTTATTAGTTAAATTATAAATTTTTATAGCGGTACATAATATTGTATAATCGAAACTTTCTATATTCAGTTCTGATTTGTTAGAGTAAAATACTATAAGATCATATTATATGTGTACAACAATAACATTAATAAAATATAGAATGAGTTCTATGTTTTTCAATTTGGTATCAGAGCAGTAAGTTGTATCAAGATATGATGAAAGTATACAATAATGTTATGATCGACAACCACATAATGAGGAAGATTTGGAGCATATTGAGATCGAAAATTTGTCTGTTGATGCCAATGATATACCACACCAATCGTCCTCTCAAGAACCTAATATAGAAAAAAGAATTCTGTCAGATCGTGTCACTAGAGGTATCCCTAAGCCTACTTATGATCCTGACCTCACCAATAAGACAAGATACCTTATGAGTAATTATGTTTGTAACCAGAATTTGTCTAACTCAAATATCGCATTTATAAGTCAATTATCTACTGTATCTATTCCTAACAGTGTGCAGGAAGCTTTAACTGACTCCAGGTGGAAGGATGTTATGAATGAGGAGATGAGATCCTTGCAAAGAAATAAAACATGGGAATTAGTAGATTGTCCAATTGAAAAGAAACCAGTAAGATGTCGATGGGTGTATACTGTAAAATTTAATGCAGATGGCACAATTGAGAGATTCAAAGCTAGATTAGTGGCAAAGGGGTTAACACAAGCATATGGAATAGATTACACTGAAACGTTTGCTCTCGTAGCCAAAATTAGTACAGTTCGAGTATTGTTATCTCTAGCTGTAAACCTTTATTGGTTCTTACAACAATCTGGCGTAAAAAATGTCTTCTTACACGGGAAATTGTCTGAAGAAGTTTATATGGAGCTACGAGAAGGATGTAGGATCCCGAATACACATAGCAAGAAGGTATGCAAGTTGAAGAAGTCATTGTATGGTCTAAAACAATCGCCACGAGCATGGTTTGGTAGATTCACCAAGTTAATGCTTGCTTTTGGATACCAACAGAGCAACCAAGATCATACCTTGTTTCTAAAGAAAAAGGAAGAAAATATTACAATTCTTATTGTCTATGTTGATGACATGATAGTTACGGGAAACGATATAGAGAAACGTAAGACATTGAAAGAGTACTTGACAAAGGAATTCGAGATGAATGATTTTGGTCATTTGAAATATTTTCTTGGAATTGAGGTCTCAAGATCAAAGTCAAGTATTTTTCTCTCACAACAAAAATATGTATTGGATTTACTAAAAGAAACCGAAATGACAGCATGCAAACCAGCAAATTCTCCAATTGAAGAGGGATTGAAGTTGTGCATTGAAGAAGATCAAACTTCAACTAACAAGGGAAGATATCAGAGACTTGTAGGGAGATTGATGTATCTCTCACACACTAGGCCAGATTTAGCTTATGCTCTTAGTGTGATTAGTCAGTTCATGCACAATCCAGGTGAAAAACACATGGATGTTATTATATGGATTTTAAGGTATATAAAAGCTGCTACTGGAAAAGGAGTTATGTTCAAGAAGAACTTCAACTACAAGGATGTGATGGTTTATACTGATGCAGATTAGGTAGGTGCTCTTGATGATAGAAGATCAACCTCTGAATACTTTACATTTATAGGAGGTAATCTTGTCACATGGAAAAGCAAGAAGCATAAAGTTGTAACTAGATCCAGTGCAGAAGCCGAACTTAGAGGAATGGTTCTTGGACTTTGTGAAGATTTGTGGCTCAGACTACTTCTCCAGGATTTAGGGTATGCACATACACGTCTCATTCAGTTGTATTGTGATAATAAAGTTGCGCGACATTGATCACAATCATGTCCAACATGATCGGATCAAGCATGTGGAGATTGATAGATTTTTCATCAAGAAAAAACTTGATAAAAATATTTAGGAATTACCAAATATTCGATCTGAAGATCAGTTGACAGACATTCTTACCAAAGCTGTGACAAGTCAGATTTTTAAGAGATTATTGGACAAATTGGGAATGTATGACATCCATTTACCAATTTGAGGGGGAGCGTTGGGATAAAAATATTTGATTAACTAAATTATAGGTTTGTATAGCGGTACAAAATATTGTATAATAAGAACTTCCTATATTTAATCCTCATTTGTTAGAGTAAAATATTATAAGATGATATTATATGTTAAAAAAAATAACATGAATAAAATATAGAATGAGTCGTATATTTTTAGCAATATATGTTGTCATGTACGCAGACCCAATGAGAAAATCCAGCTAAAAAATGTGTTGGCACAATCTTAAGTTTACACAGCCGCTTGATTGTTGGTAATGCTATTATTCTTTACCATTTTGGTTTCTGGTGATGCTCTTTTTCTGGTATAAGTTTACAGTAATACTATTTATGTCAATGTTCTGAGTAAGACTCTCCTTATATCTGTCATAAAACATATCCACATATTTTATAAGTTTCTTAGAACACTTAATCAGTGCCAAGTTGACCACTGATTATCTACATCCTTCAGCAAGATATGCCTGAATACATTTTTAGGCATAATCAGAAATTGTAAAGTGAATATATATGTTTTATATACACTGTTCTGAAAAGGTTATCTTCACCTTAAGATTTTTTCAGAACGTATCTCGTAAAACACTTAACCCATTTATTTAGCCTCGAAAAATTGTAACCATTCTCTCTTTAAAAATTATTCCTTATTATATAGGCTTAAATTTATTAAAATTGATATCACTTATCTCTAACTTTCTCACTCTTTATTTTTTATTTTTTTTTCTAATTAGGAAACTTCTGACAGCGTTAGATTTTTTTAGAAAAAATTTTGTAATTTTTTTCCTTGTGAACTTTGTGTTTTTTTCTTTCTTGGAACAAAAATACTTATCTTAAAGAGGATGTAAGGAAATTGGGTGACTCAAACGAACGTAGAAGAAACAATTAGGTCCCATTTTGTCACTATATCCAGTCAATTCCAGGAGCACTTTCAATGGAGTGTTAAGCATTTCTAATAACTTGGGAATGAATGTTAAATGTTTGACCATTGAGTTTATTTATTAGTGCGCAAGTATCTGGATCTGTTCTTATACTTCAACCAAAGAGCATAAGAACTCCTCATAGCAAGTCAATATAGTAGAAATTTCCAATTTGAAGTCTTCATCTAGAAACCATTTATTTTACCACTGCATTCAATTCCATCAGCTTGTAAAACTCGATATATATGATAGTAAACAAGAAAGTGTGCATTGTACGTATATGAGTTACAGGTTGCTAATGCGTGCTGCATGGTTTACCACCAATCCAGAGAGAAAAGGGAAGTTGGCAAGTAAAGGTTTGGAATTGTACACCTTACAAAATTCCCTGCCCCATCATCCATTCTTATTCCTTCACGTGTCCCCTAAAACTACACAACGAATCCCACTCACAACCCTCCTACAAAACCCTCAACCAACGACATATTCTCCTTATCCAACTAACCAACCACCTTAATTTCCCCATTTCATTCTAAACAATGGAATCTCATGCCTCCAATTCTAACTATCATTCTAACCATGACAGCAACAACAACCACCACCACCACCCTCGGTTCAAACCGAGCCAACCCATCTCAGACCGAATAGTCCGCGCCCTCCGCCACCGTCTCCGCCTCCTCCACCGTGCCGGCTCCACCTTCTTCATATTCGGCGCCACCGGAAACGTGTACACGGTCACCCTCTCCTCCACACCCTCATGCACCTGCCCTGACCGTACAACCCCATGCAAGCACATTCTCTTTGTTTTCATTCGAGTCTTGGGCGTGTCCCTCGATGATGTGTGTCTGAGGAGGAGGACTCTTCGTCCCTGCCAGCTCCAACGCCTCCTAGGCACGCCAACGTTGCCGGAGGCAGTGGCGGGTGGCACCCTCCGGCAGAGCTTCCACCAACTCTTCTTTCGTGGAAAGTCAACGAAGCCAAATATAGAGATGGAGGAGGGCGCCACCTGCCCCGTTTGCCTTGAGGAAATGGGGAAGGAGCAAAACCTGGTTGCATGTGGGACATGCCGTAACCCTATTCATGAAGAGTGCTTGATGAGGTGGAAGAGAACACGGGGAAGAAGAACAACTAGTTGTGTGATTTGTAGAGCGAGGTGGAGGGATAGGGTGGAGCAGGATAAGTATCTGAACCTGTCTGCGTATGTTAGTGAAGATGACATGGGAGAACCTGGTGGAGGACTCTGCACTGGCTGAGTTCAATGTATAAAAGTGTTTGACTTGGTTAAAGAATCAAAATTAACTGCATGTTTGCAATGTGTAAAGAAGGGTCGAAAATTGTTTACGTTGAAAATTATAATTAGTCAGAATACAATCGTTGTCTCTGTTGTTATTTATGGTGACTTTTATGTATAGCAATTAGCCATGGCACAACAAGAACTTTGTTAGAAGGATGCTACTTGCTGTTTGAGCAAGATGTTTTAACTAAATCAAAAAATGGTGATAAGTTTCTGTTCTAATGTACCCTGCAACCACAAAGACATAGTTAGACACCAGAAGAAAGATGAAAGGAGAAAATATAGAGTGACCCAAAAATCATGCCTCTATCAAAACTTAATTCTAATGCTGATTTTGAGGAAATTGAAATTTATATTTTCTGAATAAGTAGAATTGATTTCAAGTCGTAAAAGTTGCTGAATTTTTTAAAATACAGATTATTTTGAAATGACTTGGTTCAATCCATTTGCATAATTATTTTTTTTGTTTTAAGTTTGTTTTTAAATTTTTGAAATATTTTTGGAATATTAATTCTTTATTCATTGTGCCAAATCTAAATTAAATGAACTTAAATTTAGGTTAGATTATACGTCATTTTAAAAATAAAGATATAGAATATACGATGACATGTACTTTTTATTCCTTTTTAACAAAATAGTTTAAGAATATTTGTTGTTTTCTACGTAAATATCCAATAACGTATATTAGTAATATTTGAAATTTTAAAAAATATTTTTTTTTAATTTGATGAAAAATAACTGTTTAGTTAAGTAAACTTAATTAATCTTATTGACTTAAAATCAAACGAAAGGTCTTTCCAAAATGCATTCATATATTTTTTTCTTTATAATATTTTACTTTAAATATTATATGTTTTAAAATATTATATATTGTTAAAATTAAAATATAAAATACTATTTGTTTTTTGGATGATCAAATTATTTTTATATTATATTATTTTATTATAATATATTTTTAAAAATTAAAAAAAAATCATAAAAAACCGTTTAAATATAATTATAAATATTAATTTAGTTTGATTTAATTTTAAAAAAATAAAAATCAAACTAAGTCTTTAATTACATTTTTTATTTGAATAAATTATTTAGTATAAAACTAAATTAAATTGTATTGCAAACATCTTTGATATTTTCCATTTTCTATTATTTTTAATGATAAGTTTCCTTCTTTCTCTTAAATATAAAATGATAAATAATATATTTTTTCTTGTTTATTCAATTACGTATTTTATTTTATTTTTTATTCTTTTCTTTAATTTTTTACTATTATTTGAATTTAGTGAATAAATATTTATATTTTAAAATTAATATATATATATATATATAATTTTAATAAATTAAATATAATATAATAAAAATGTGGCGACATTTTTGTATAAAATAATGTTGAATAATAATTAATTTAAAATAGTATTTATTATAAATTTAAAACAGGACTAATATAATATTTCTTTTTGAGTTGTGTATTTACATGTGGTGGGATAAACTGAGCTTATGTACGCTTGTGTTCTGACTTCATGAGTTGCCATCGGAAGCAATGGAAGACGCCGGGAAATCTCTGAAGTCTGGTAACCTATCGCGTAAGGTGGTTGATTTGGCTGCGGGAGAAGCACACGCTCTCATCCTTACTGGTGAGTAACCCAAGTCAATTTTCTGTGAAAGGAAATTGAAATCTCAAATTTCATTGTATAATGGGAATTGTTGAGTTGAGAGTTGAATTGTTTGCTGTGGTTTGCAGGGGATGGCAGTGTCTACAGTTGGGGTAGGGGAACGTTAGGACGAATCGGGAATGGCTCAGAAAAGGATGAGTTTTTCCCAGTACAACTCAATTTCGGAAACCCAAATCCAAGTGGAACACAAGACACTGTCAAGATAGTGGGAATTGCTGCTGGTGCTTATCATAGTCTCGCTCTCGCAGGTATCCAATACTTAATACCCTTTTTATCGTAAATATCCCAAGGACAAAGCTTAAGTGCATTTCTGTGGATGGTTTTAGTGATTTCATCTTCTAAATCTGACTAATAAATGTTTGCATTAGAGGTAAATACAAATTCTCAAGATAAAAATGTCAATTTAGATAAGATAACAAAACTAAAAGCTCATCTAACTGCTTCTAAGTTTTGTTCTATCTGGAGAAACAAATCTTAAGTGCAGTTCTTTAAGTGTCTTTTGTGTCATTATTTGAATAGATCTGTTATCTTCTCAAAATCGTTGTGTAAAGTAAACTCCAAAATAGATTTTTGTTTACAAATGAAATTAAATTTATTGGAACTGTGGGGTTCACCCTGTAGACTCAAATGATATGATAAAATAGGATGAATTAAGATGGTATTTTATAAGTATATAATTATATTTAATAAATTTTATATATCTTATGATAAACACCATATATGGCTCGGTTGTTGTTGTTGATAGAATGCAGAGCTAAATACATCTAAGTTTTGTCTTATCTGAAGAAACAAAAGTTAAGTGTGCTTCTTTGGGTGCTTATAGTGTTCTTCTTTGATCCCCTTTAGTGTTATTCTTTGATCAGAGTTTCGAGTTTCATTTCAAAATCCGGATAATAACTGTTTGCATCATAGATCAACATTAGTTACTCACAAAAAAAATAATTTTGATTCAAGAACAATGTTAAAAACACCTATATGAATTGTAACTGATCTAAATTTAGCCATAACGAAATTTGTCATGGATATATTTAGCATACGAAACATTAATGCCTATTTTCAAACGAAATTGATTTGGATCCAAACATGTAATTGGTAACTGGTACTATAAAAATAAACAAATTATTCGAAAAAAAGGGTTACATGACATGCATTTGTGACTGTGTATTGTTTGCTTTTTATGCAGAACACTAGTTTTGAAATGTTATATTAGAGTTTCATACATAATATCTTGCTTCTCTTTTCCTGAATTCTTAGGTGAGGTTGAACAAACGAATATAAACTTCATTAGAATGTAGTAACTTCCTTAGCTTATTGTTAATAAGAGGATCAGCTCATCTTCTTTTTTTTTTTTTTGAGATATAAATTTTCATCGCAAATGCTTCATAACGAGTAGGTGACTTCCTGCAGTATAATTTCATTTTCACTGTTTGTCGCTGAAATATGAAAGCAGAAGTCAAATCATAAATTGTTGTCTTCTGATATATTACCATATTTTTTATTACGCATTGACAGACATCTGCAATGTTATTACCTGCATTTTAAAACTTACCTTACATGCATGCAAGCTACTGTTGCACCAGTAAGTAATAGTGGTTAAGATAAAGTCTTTGAAAATAATTTAGGTTAAAGGAAATAGTTTGAAGCTATTCAACAACTTATTTTTTTGCTTTTGGGCTCAGAGCTAGACTTTGCTAACAATGGACGCAGATTTCCAGATTTGAATATTTTTCCCTTGATGGGAACTCAGGCTAAAATTGCCCAATGTTTTTTAACCTTATTGCTAAAATTTCATAAGAGTGATTAGTGTATGCATGCATTTAGATTTGTCAAACAGATATGAATGAAACACAGCACTTGTTAGTTATCTAATTTAACTTAGGCCGGTTCATCTGATTTGAATTTTAAGGGTATTCCCCTATTTAATTCTTCATTCTGTGATGACAGAAGATGGAGCTGTTTGGTCTTGGGGTTACAATATATGTATCCTTAGTATGCTTGGAGTCCCTTGGTTCATCTCAGTTACAGATATTACTTATTTTTAATTTTAGAAGTCTGTTGAATTTATGTCATGTATTAGCATGTACACCCTTGACTACTGTATGGATGGTCAACTTGGTACAAATGGAGAGGAATCACATGACAATGAAAATGCTGTTAGAGACTATTCTTTAGTGCCTCGCTTACTCAACAGGTTTGTTGAATTGCACCCTGCCGATTCTTCATCGGGTGGGTCTGAAGTAGAACGTAAAACATCACTTAAGGTATAACATTAATTCTTTAATTTTTTAATCTAAAACTTAGCCCAGGTGATTTCATATTTGATGTGTTCTCAACTGTTCAACTTTCACAGATATGTGCTGTCAAAGCTGGAGGAATGATGTCTCTGGCTATTGATAACCGTGGGACGCTGTGGATGTGGGGAAACTGCCCACAACAAAGCAAAGAAGGGGAGTTAGCACTTGTAAGCAGTTTCACTCCAACTCCAGTTTGGGATTTTCAGGGTCAATCTGTTGTCAAGGTTGCATGTGGAAATGAGCATGTTGTAGCACTGGTTAGTGCGGGGGAATCATACAATGGTGAAGATCTAGTGTGCTACTCTTGGGGTTATAACACCCGTGGCCAATTAGGCTTGGGGGATAGAGAGAGCAGGCTGCATCCGGAAGTTGTCAATATAATTTATGAGGATTCACCTTATGAGGTAGCATGTGGTGCCTATCACACTGCTTTGCTCACTCGTATAAAGAAAACTAGTGAAACATTACACAGCACATGCTGGACCTTTGGCCTTGGAGATAATGGCCAGCTTGGGCATGGAACAACACAAAGCACATTATTTCCTACACCTATCAAAGAATTGCCACAAAATATATCTCTTATTGCTGTTGACTGTGGTTTGTTTCATACAAGTGTAGTTTCCTCGGCTGGAGATGTGTGGTCATGGGGAATGGAGAAGGGCCTCGGCTTATGCCCTGATGCTAGTCGAGCAGGAACAGATTCCGGTGATGCACTATCTCCCCGTCTTATGCCATGGAAGCCAAATCAACCTAAATTTCCAGATCCAGTTAAACTTGCATGTGGGGCCGCACATACAGTTATAGTTGCGCAAGGGGGATATAGAATGTGGTCTTGGGGTAGGGGGAGAAGTGGAGTTCTAGGAGATGGTAAAGGAGCAGATTGTTACACCCCCACGGTTGTACTATGGCCTCAAATGATGGAGGATTGTGAGGAAGAAGAAGTAAAAAGCAAAGGTGAGCAAGGAAAATCTAGAGAAAAGGAGACTGAAGCAACAGAAGCAGAAGAGAAACTATCCTCTGCGTTGAATGAGCTGAAGCTGCTTAAAATAAAGCTATCTGTGATGGAAAAATATGCCAGTATACTTCATGGTTCTGTTTTTGGAAAACCTTTTGATGAGCAAGGTATCCCTGATTCATTGAGGAATTCAGGTTCATTTGACATTGGAGAAGAATGGGAGAAGATGTTAGGGGCTGCAGATCATAGGAGGCTAATTAGGTTGGAAATGTTTTACCGAGACATGCTTGCTGGAGTAAAAGATGAACTAATGAAGAGAAGGATCAAGGAAATTGTAAAGGAGTGTATCCAATCTTCAGAGGTGACAAATTAGTATATGTGAATAAAACAAGATACCATTCACAACGAAAGGATGTCACATAAAAGTAATAAGCTATTTGATCATTCCATTTTTATGTCCTTTTCTTACTTTATTTGATCATTTTATTTTGCACTCGTTTGACCCCCGATAACACATTATCTGTATTAGAATTCCCCCACCCAAACCTCACCTTCCTTCCGTTACACACTGTGTCTATGCACATAATTGACCCGTGCGTTTTCAGTGCCGGTGGAAACCCACGGAAACAAACCGATAATGACAACAGCGTTTATTTGCTTATCAATTTTATGAAAAGCATTACAGCAAACATCTCATTTTCATTTTTTTCTGAAACCAGAAAAGAAAATAATATATTGTATCATAATTGATATCTCCAATTTCTTAATCTGCAGCACATTTTTATCCTACAAAATGTCATACTTCTTTTTGTTTTCCTGTTCTGCATTTAACAGGTTATTATTAACTAGATGAATTTGTTTGTACCAGCGCCTATAAACTGTTGAGGAATTTGTTTATTTACTCTTTCCAAAACTACTCTATCATTGCGGCATTTGTGCAACTTCGGCTTTTTACTTTCATATTTTTATTTTTTGTTGGGTCACACTGAAGTGTAAAATTTGAGATAATGGGTACAATAAATGCAATCAATTATTTCGGTACCCACTTGATAATGTGTACAAGGTCTTTGCGTTTTCCATATAATCAAGCAGCTGAAGGTGTTTTAGCTGTCCACATATGGCACACCTCAACAACACTCCCGACCAGAAACTTCCTAAAGATAAGTCCAAAAACCAGAAGTGTCTGTCTAAAGAAGGATGTATATATATATATATATATATATATATATATATATATATATATATAAACATTAAAAAACTGAATCAGCATATATATACAAATGTTAACTCCCAGTTTACAATCAACGCCGGCCTTTTCATTCATACCAAGAAATAGTTGCATAAACTTCAATAAAACAATGGTTATACAATGCCTGCGTTTCATACTAGAGGGGCAACGCAATCCAAAGAAATTTAGAAAAGAATAATGAGAACGTAGACACCATTTTCATATTATATATCGAAAGAGAACTCTCAGGAGATAAAAAGAGAAATTAAGCTAAACACAACTAACCACCGTGAGATATCTCTAATACTAATTAATGAATCGGAAAGAATATTCAACTACCTTCGCGAATAAGCCAGCCATAATCATGGCCCACATTAATGCTGCCTCACTTCAGACTTGGAGAATACGCCGCGGTAGCACTAAGCTTCTGGACAATATTCCCAATTTCTTGCAGGAAGGCCCTATCTTCATGTAGATCTTGCTCAACAATTCACATAAATTACCTGCTTGGCAACGTTGCACTAAATACCAGCAGAACCAGACAGTAAACCAGATTGCATCTTCCACTCCCAGCACATCACATTTTCCCGTTTCATCAACTGGTTCTCAAGGTTGTTAAAGTTTCTTAGGTAGATCGTATGCCTTTTTCAGAAACTTGGAAGCTGTTTCATCATTTCTATAGCATAAAACACGTAACAATGTGTTTGGTTCTGATGGATTCCACTGTCCAGAAGTGGGAGGTAATGGAAGTTTAGACCTGGCGGAGGATTTATATGCCTCCATGGTCAACCGTCTAAACTGCTCAACGAGGGTCTCTGTGTCAGTTCTGAAAAGCGGAAGGATAGACCTTGCAGTTGTTGAAAACTTGTCTATTAATTCAGAAGGCAAGCCATCCCCATTTGCCCAAAACAACTCCTTGAGCAATTGAAAATCATCCTCGATGATCTGAGAATCCTTCCTGGTAAAAGCACGTGAGGGACCTCCAGCAAGCAATACAAGCAAGAATCCATCAAAGGAAGCTCTCATTATTTCAGTAATAATACGTGTGCGAATTCTTTCATGAACAGTATTTGAAATGAACATTAACTTCCGCTCAAGTTCCTGAAGAAATGGCTCAATTCTTGAAGATGCTGAATCCCCGACATACAAACCATCCCATAAAACATGACTTAGATCATGGAAAACAATTCTATAAGCTGCAGCCTCGCAGAGTTGCTGAATTCCTTCAAGACACGCAGCTGGAGATAGTTCAAACTTCTTTGCTAATCCATTTGAAAAATCTTCAACGTGAGCAGACTGAGAGTTCCGTAGAAGGGTAATTATTCTTTTTTCCAGAACATCAAATTCACCCAGTATCCATTGCAAAGTATTTATGCGAACACAGAGTTGTGGTATTCCAGAAGAGCTATCCCCATTTGTTGCAACTTGAGGGTTTCTCTTCTGAGGATTTGGAGATTTATCCTTTTTTTTCCCAAAGCCCTGAAACTTTGACCCAATAGTGCACCTGGTCAATGCTGGCATTGTTGGAAGAAATGTGTTTCGTGATCCTGAATATTATTAGAACAAAGAATAGTTACTAAAGATGCCAAATATCAGAGCTTATATGATTAACTATAAAAACATCATTTACCGCAGCCAGATTTTGCTTTGATGACATAATACTGAAGGCATTTGTCAAGGTCATTCATCACGTCAGGAAGCAATGCAGGATGCATCGGTATTGGAAGCTGAAAGAAAGCATCCAAAGTCTCATTTATAATTCGCAAAACTTCAACAGCTGATGGAGCATATCCTTCCTGATTTGCTTGAGGACTCCAAACCTAGGATAGAATAACACAGTAAACTAAGTTAGTTCAAAACATTGAGACATTTAATTAATGCAGATAACCAGAACACATGAAAATTAATCACATCCATAATTATAAACATGTATAGTTATGAACATGCTATAGCTTATCAATTAAAATCTCGTTCTGCAAAGAAATACACAACTTACAAATGTTCAGCAATAACTTTATGATGTTTGATCTGTAAAATCATGAGTCTAAGGGTGGGTTTGGACAAACAACTTAACCAAGTGCTTAATAAATAAGTTCCTATCACACCAGAGCTATAATTAAAAAAATTAGCAATAAAAGATATTGAAATAAGCTAAAGAGCTTATTTCGATAATCTTTACCAAGAAGCTTATAGCTCTCTTCAAAATCTCTAATAATCTCCATAAAAGTTCTTCTAAACCCCTCCTAATTCTATCAAAATGCTCATCCGCAACATTTCTTATAGGTAATAAAGTGTCAATGAAAATCATTAACTCGTAACAAAAGAAAAGATAATGGATGCAAACCTCTTGCTGCAGATTTCTATCGACCCACTCCTTCAGTCTGTCTATTCTAGTTTTAATCCATATTTTCACAAGATTGGCAATTGCACCTTCAGCCTCATATGGAGGCATCTCACGGATAATTGCTTTACCACCATCTTCACTTTCCACTGAATCTTCAACTGCTATCTGCACAAGGTCTTTCTCCAACTGATCAGCAGCTCTCAACACTTGAACAGCATCAGGTGTCAATTCTGTGATACCTGATATGAACTGCTTCAATTCGTTTCCATAGCATGCATGAAGGGTGGCCACAGCAAGACCTGCTGCCAAAGGATGCCATCTCTTAAGTATTGGACTGAATACTTGCTTTTCATTGATTGCCAGGCTACCTACATCCTTTGCAAGAATGGCCAGGACAGGGAGAGCATTTGGCTGATTTTTGGATGCTCTCCTGCTGGAGTCTGCCTTCTCCATTATCTATGCACCAGCAAAACAAAGCATATTTCAGCATATGCATCTATTAAAATATTGAGAGGCTGATAGATGAAGAATTTAACATGAATACTAAAGGCATAAAGTAATATATGATCAAAATCTATTAACATAACCAAACTATCAATTAGACCTCATATGGATATCCAAACCTTTGTTCCCTATAGACCTGGTACTATCACCACGAATTGCAGTTTGTATACCAATATAATTTCACACTGATTTTATATTAAGTAAAAAATGTGCAGACATTATATTGTCATTATATAGCATACTGGTGAGTTAAAGAGTAGTTGTACCCCCCCGCCCCCTCCCCAATCTCCCTCTTCAAGCACCATTGCAATCCAAGTAATGATAAACCTCAAGTCATTGACCTTTTACTAAATGGAAAAACCAATGCCAGACAGAAGAACTTGCCTGGGCAAAAGCAGTGCGTAGTGATGACCTGATGTAGGTTTCAATTCTTTCACGCGCCACATTGACTTCATTTCTTCTCCTCCGGCGATACTCATTGGATATATCCTCAACCAAAATCTTAGCTGCTGCTACCCCTAAAGAGACTATGCCCTGCATGGTTTCAACATTTCCCCGATCAAAAGTTTCATGATATGCAAGGAGCCTTTTCTCAGCCCACCCCAATATTGAAGTCAACGTAGAACTCAACACTTTGGAATATTCTGCATCTTTTGTTGTCTTTGCATCGTTTGCAACTTCTGCCAGGTGTCCGTCAGCAGCAGACAGCAGTTCCAGATCCACCTGGCCAGTCACAACGAATCGGTGAAACAAAACCCAAGTGAAACAAAGATTATGCAACGTCTGATTCAACCCAAGGATACCCCAGGTCTTCTTGATTTGGTCCATCAGCTCATCAAATTCCTCAATAATCGATGATTCATCATTAGCATCAAAGCAGGATTGCAAAAGCATTTCATAAAGCCGCAGATTCAGAGGAATCCCATCTGCCCAGTGACATGAATCAGCATAACCATCATACGACCTATTTGCAAGAGACATGACAGCACTACGAAGAACCTGCATAGACTCAGTATTCTTCCCGGTTTCTATAGGCTTATCCAGTGCAGCGTGAATAATCTGCCGCAGACGCTGTGCCGAAGAATTCGACTTATCCAAGGGCATGTGAGGATGCAAAATCAAGCCAGCCTCGAGAACCTTCAAGGTTCTTTTCTGCCACTCAACATACTCTTGCTGATCAGTAAAATCCGAAGCCTTGAGTTGCTGCAGTAACTCAAGCGGAACCACTACAGACTCAATCCTTCTTCCAACCTACATCGAACAAACAGTCAATTAAGCTTCAATGACAAATATTCATTCCATTGAACAATTCAACACACGCAACAATTAAGAACAAGTTAACTAGCACTTCATGAATATGTTTATTCGGGATCAAAGTCACAATAAGTATTTATTCAAGCTCGTGTTAGTTATATTTGGATCAAAGTAACAATGACGCGAAAATTTTGGGAGAATCCAATAGCAGATCGAAGGACTTTGAATTCTTGGAGACCGCAATTGCAGCCGCATTTGTCCGCAATTTCTTGCAATACCAAGGATTGCGTTCAAACCTCGACAGTGAACGCAATTTAAAACCTCAGTGAAAACCGATAAGCAAGTAAAATAGAACCAGATCGACCATCATTCGTTACATGCATTGCAGGACGCGCGTAAAACGTGAAGTGTGGTTTAAACGAAGAGTGTTATGGACCTGGCCAGCCGAAATCCTGAGAAGCGCGCGTCTGACGCGCGAATCCATGGCTTCGGAAACCCTCATCTGGTTACGCATGAGTTCCCCAACAGTTAGTGGCCGCTTCGGCTTTCCCTGGCCCGAACCGGAGGCCGAACCGGAGCCAGGGCTCTTTCTGGAGCCCGAACCAGGTGATTTCAAGCCGAAGGCCTTCTTAACCTTACTGGCAGCCGTAGAGGTAATGGATCGCTGGAGTGCGGGCGAGTTCGGCGAGTTCTGACCGGGCGAATTGGCGGAGGAGTGGTTGGGGACGGAACTCAGAGGCTTGCCGGAGGAGGTGCGGCAGGCGGCGACAAAGATCTCGAAGGCGGTTAGGGAGAGGTCAGAATCGGAGAGGTTGACAGCAAGTTGGCCGAGCGGAGAAGGGAGGTCGTCGACGGCAGAAAGGGCGGAGGGTTTTGGAGGCATTATGGGCTGTGGTGGCGGCGGCGTTGTGTCTCGCTTGGAGTGGCCCAATGAGAGGTCCCTGAAGAGATGAGCCATTGCCAGAACAGAGGGAAAGAAAAGAAAGAAGAGAAGAGGTAAGAGACTCAACACTATCGACTACATACACATACATACACGGTAAAAGTGTTTTTCATATCAGATAGGGACACTCCCTCTTCTTTCTCTTTTTTACTTTCCTTCCATTCATTTATTATTCTCAAATACTCTTCTTCCTCTTTCCACAACTTTCTTATTTTTTTCATTTTTTTTTATTTTACTCTGACTTTCTCCAAAATTTCGGCCAATCCTCTTGCACAGGTTAAATTTGTTCTGATTTTTTTCTATTTTTTTCAAATATTTAATTGCATCATTACATGTATTGGTGATATTTATATATAAAAAAAAAACATTGAATCGATGATTCTGCAATGACCAATGGACAGGAATCATGCGTAAATATTACAGTGACATTCTAATATCTGATAAATTTATTTATTTCAATGATGATTATCTTAACATTGAATTTAATAGTTTTTAATGAATTAATAATTTAAATACTTCTACATTTAATTATATTCATTTTTAAAACCATTGTTTTGATATATCTCACACTCCAGGTTTTTCCATTATTTGAATTGTTCATCCGTGGAACATGCGGTGTTTGGCAATTTACGCAGTTACGATTAAAGCGGGACTGAAAATGAATTGAAAAGTTGCACTAAAATTGGGTCAATTTTTAATACGGTGGCAAGTGGGAATATTAATAAGTGGTTGAAGCAAGTAAAAGTATGAACATGTATTTAAATAATACTTCCTTTTCTCTGAGACAAATAAAAGTAAATTACAACTGCATGTGTCTGATATGATGAATGTCAAAGTGTAAATATGTAATTGGATTTTAATAGTATTTGTTTACTCAATCTACGCTGTCGAACATTGAATTTAATTTTTTTTTAATATATTTAGATATAATCGTATGGTTGAGGATTAGGCTTTTCTAGTACATCCAATCATCTGAATTGTTTTTAGAAATTTATAATTTCAATTAAAATCCACAGATAAAGTTTTAGGAGAAAATATTCGATCCAAAACTCAAAGGAGTATATATATAAATATATATATATATATATATATATATATATATATTTGTTTTTAAAAGATTATGCAATAAAGTTACGACTTATATTTTTTTAAAATATTTTTACAATTAAGGTTTTATCGTTTGGTTTTAAAAAAATTATCAAAATTTAAATTACTTTAAATGTTTATAATTCTTTTGAAAAAATATGATTTTTAAAAAATATCAAAGTTACAGTAGTGAATGAAATAAATGATCATTTTTCAAAGAGAAAAAAAATACTATAAATTGTTCAACTTTTTTTTTTTTTTCATGTACTTCTCTCTTGGTATTTTATGCTTCTTCATATTTTTCATTAGTGTTATTGGTTTGAAAGATAAATTCAAAAGCATACATGCTCTATTGATGATGAAGACTTGTTTTTTAGGCTGAATTGAAATTAATCAGAATAACATTATTTGTAAAATAAAATATATTAAATCTGAAGTATTTTCATTTAAATTATTATATTTTAACTATACTTTATTCAGATAAAAAATATTAAATTAAATTTTTTTAGAAAGTTTAATTATTATAAAAATATAAAAAATAGTTTTAATAATATAAAATATTTAATTATTACAAAATTTTAATTGAGATGTTTTTCAGTGATACTATGGATCGAGATTACTATTTAACCAAAATATATAAAAAAGAAATTAAGGAAATTTGTTTGCTGAATTCACATTAATTTTATTTATACTAATCAAAATAATTTCGACCTATATCAGATAATGGTTATTTTATTACGTCATTGTTCAGAACTTTTCTATTACCAACTTGTTAATTGAAAAATTCTATCATGTATTGGTGCTTAAATATATGTAGTTAAGATTTATTAAAATCAATCATTTTTTCAAAATTATGTTACAATGTGACTATATATATATATATATATATATATATATATAGAGAGAGAGAGAGAGAGAGAGAGAGAGAGAAATTGACTATAAAACACATTATAGATAATGATTAAGAAAACTCTTATTAATATTAATAAAAAATAAATTTATTTTATATTAATATATTATGGCTCTTAGTAATGTTAATACAATAACAACTCTTTATAATATTGAAGAATCTTGTTTATATCTATACAATTATAATCTCAATAACATAAACAAATACTTTAGAGAAAAAAATAATCTTATTAATGATATTAAAAAATTATAAACACTAAATATAATAATTTTCTTTATATTGATTATTACATCTTATTTTAGTTTCCTTTTTTTTTTCTCTTCTCCGTATAAATATTTTTCTCCACAACATTTATTTAGAGACTCTAATTTATCATTATCATTAAAATAATTTTGATTTGAAGATCATCCTTCCTTATTGAATCTACTATTATCCTTATCTTTCCTCTACTTTCTTTAAATTTTGAGTTTGCAATGTTTGTTCTTTGACCACTTTTCCAACCCTTCACAATAATAATCTTAGTGAAGGAGGTCTTCAACCTTTATCTTTTCCATGTCTTAAACTCTTCGATTGCAAACACAATGTAATCAAGTTTAGAAGAAAACAAAAATTCTCAAAATCTTCTTCACCAAAATTTATTTTGTTATTGATTTTCCACAAAACCTCGTTGAATTCACCAAAAATAAAACCTGCTATAATAATCTTCAATGAACTTTTGATTGAACAGATAATAACTCATACTATTTTTCTGAGAGACTATAACTATTTTTTTCTTTTTCTTTTCTATTCTTGACACGTTCATATGCTTTCTCTAGAATATGCCAAGTCTCTTTCTTTTCTTAAAATTAACAAGTTTCATACATTAATAAAAAAGACAATAACCTTTCTTTTTTATTATTTCAATTATTTCTTGAAATCCAATAATAATGGTCACGATTTTTACCATTAAGAATTGGTAAGGTGGATAGAAAATGTTCACCTATAATGAAGCCATGACTATTCCAGTATTAGAAAAGAAAATAAAATCAGAAAAAAAATTAAATTTAAAAACAATATAAATATACTCTATAATAATTTGGTATACAAACTTGTTATACTTGAATTAACTACAACAAAATAAAAACGGGTTTTTCTTTATATTAAAAAATCAAATAAAAAAATAACACATATAATATACAATGTGATTATTATACATACAAACTTTCTAATCAAATTTGAATCAAAGTGCAATATCATTCAAATTATACAATGTTATTCTTATTTTAACAGAAGTATATTTTTTATATATTCAATATTTATAACAATTTATGATTCAATAAAGTATGAATTTTCAATTAACGTTTAAGTTAATATTTAATATTTATTTTAATAGTTTTTTTATTTTTTTAAGCGGCTCGATTGATTACTTTTGTTTCTTAAATTATGGATATGGGATTGCGTGTTGTCTTTGGTGTGGAATAGTGAGGCAGGAACGCGTAAGAGAAGAGGAAAGTCTAAACCAACCATCACCCAGCTATCTATTGCCTTTATCTTCTTCTTCCATTCTTTACATTTATCATCTTTTTAAAATTATTACTATTATGATTTTGACTTTTCTGTTTCTTTTCATTAAACATAAATTGTGTCTACCATGTATTAAACATTAATTATTTGTAAAGATAATAATGATTTAAAGTGAAGTATGAGAGCGCATTTGGTTGTGTGTTGTCTGCATTTGAAGAAGAAACAAGGAAGGAAAGTAACAGGTTATATAAGTTACAACCATTCTGAGCGTGTGAAAGAAGAAAGGCGTAATGTATATATAGAGACAGTGAAGCATCACATGTAGTAGTAATACTAAGAAGATATTTAAAATGTGGTGTTTAATTCCCTGAACACGTGGCTGAGCCATATTATAAAAGGGTGTTGATAATGGTGATTATGATTATGAAGAGATGATGATTGCATAACTGGCATAGAATATGGTTGGCTCTTTTTAACCACTGCATCATTGTTTGCTTCAATCATGCCAACCACCAGCTGCCAATCAACTTAAACACATTTATAAATATTAATAATGTTTTGTTGTATTCACCACCCTGGACCATCTCCTCAACATCAACTGCTTTATTATTTCTTCATAACTATGTAATACACAAACCACACATGATTCTGTATTTCTGTTTTTTCTTTTTTTTTCTTTGTCATGCCATGTGGGTGTTAATTTGTGTTGCTTTTTGCACAAACGGGCTGTTACTTTGTTATTTGCACGCCCTTTTTTCTGTTTCACACTGACTCTGTTTTGCAGATATATTTCAAAGCAACAGAAAACAATTTGTAAATATGTTGCTTCTTTTTTATTTGATAAATCTGGGGATAGTAAAGTGAACGTTGTAAAAACATATTTAATACAAATGGGGTCACCCTGTGTGTGTATTGTATGAGGAATCAAATAAGATGAGAGCGCTGCTTCAGCTTCAGGCTTTGACAACTCGGCTTTCATTTTCCTCTTCCTCCTCCACCTTCGTTCGCGCCAAAACCTTATGGTTCGATCCAAACAGAGCGTACACTCAGAACTCCCAAGTCAGAAGGATATGGTCTTCCACTCCTGTTTGTATGGGTCGCCGTTCCAGCAAAATTGCTGGGAGAAAGGTTTATGCATACCACCTGTTTGATCATATTCGTCTGCCTTCATTTTGTCACTAGTATCAGTATCCTCCTTCCGAGTTTATTTATTTAAGGACATTATGCTCGTGTTTTGATTATTTTTCCTGTTATTTCTGAACAAGGCTCACTGTCACTCTCTGCCTTTAAGTTGGGTCGCTGTTTTATGCGTACCAGTTTATCAATTAGTATGAATTTTAGAAATATTCAATTTTCTCCAAGGATTGATTCTGATTTAAGACGATTACAGGAAGCTCAAGACGCGAAGAAGGCAAAACTTTACTCGAGGATTGGAAAGGAGGTTGTGTCTGCGTAAGTACTTCATCAACTAACTCATTTTTTTATGTTGTATCTGTTACATCACTGATATGAATGGTACCAAGTTATTTTGAGGTGATACGGGTCTTTAGCAAATTGACCTTCAGTTGCTCAGGATTTACTGACGTCAAATAGTTAACCTCATCATCCCCTGTCTTTTTTTTTGTTTATTGTTTTTTATTTACGTTACTGCAAGTGGGATCTGATTTTCCTGATTTTTTAACAGAATCTATTCTGTATTGTATTGGTTCGAACTAGAGGAGTTTGTTACTCCTTTTTTTTTATTGATTAAGGAACCACATTGTGCCTTGACATTCATCTTGTTGAATGACAGTGTAAAGAGAGGTGGTCCAAATGTAACATCCAATTCAGTTCTGGCTGCTGTACTCGAGAAAGCCAAGGAGCTTGACGTGCCTAAAGATATTGTTGAGCGCAATATCAAGAGAGCTTCTGAGAAAGGACAAGAGGCTTATATTGAGAAAGTCTATGAGGTTGGTAGAAAAATACTCTTGATTTGATTGGCATGGGGAAACAGATAGCTCTGGGACTGGTATTTTTGGGGCTAGGCAGTATAGTATGCACTCATTCATGAGTTGTAACCAAAGAAGTGATATATATTATTTAAGCTTTATGTTGTTTGCTTATGTTGTTTGCTTTAAGGACTTAATTGTTGTTTAACCTAGCATGTTTGTGTAGGATTTCAATATGATGTGTTTTACTGTATAATATGTTTGTTAAATGCATACCACTACAGGGAGTTCACCAATGTTGTGTATAAGTAGTTTGATTTCATCTCTTGTAAGATGAAGTATCATGCTCTTAAGGTAATGTAAAGAAACCAAATCCATGTTGGACAGTTGCATATGACATATAACATATAACATTCAGTTTCCATTGCAGCCCATATTATAACCAAGTGCCTTACGCAAAGTATATGTCTGTGGAGACGTAAAATTGTTACTTTTGTCCAAAGGGATCCTTGTGCAAAATGAGTTTAAACCCAATTCACTTTTAATATCTAAAAACTATTATTGAAATAAAATATTTATTTATCTTTTTTGTTTGAAAAGAGCTATTAAAAACATTTTTTACAAGTTGCCATTTTTTCTTACAAAGTTAATTTTGGCAAAGATTCCTAAAAACAATAATTATTCTTTCAAATGTTGTTATTTTAATACTAACTATTTCAAATTAAATCTCCCTTAAAATTGATTCATCGCCGTTGTTTGAACAAGAATTATGTTTGACAGTTTGAGATGTTTAGCATTTTGAAGGACAAATTTTGTATACTATTACTTTTTACTCTGTTTTTAGCTGTGAATTTGAAATAGATTCGGGTGCAAGGAAACTTGGAGTCAATTAGGTAACTGAGTCTAGGTTCCTAGATGGGTTGGACCCTGCCCAGACATGTGGGAGTGGGTCAGTTTTTCTTTTTTTGAACCCATCCTTGGGGTACTAATACCTTCAAATCTACAGTTTCTTGGAATTTCGGAATGTTATTTTAACTCATTTTTATATTTACTCTTCAGGTTTATGGTTATGGAGGAGTTAGTATGGTAGTTGAGGTATCAACTGATAAGGTACATCGTTCTGTGGCAAAGATACGAGAAGTGATAAGGGACTATGGAGGAAAGATGGCAGATTCTGGATCTGTGACATTTAAGTTTAGACGTGTTAGGGTAGTAAATATTAAAGCCACTAATGCTGACAAAGATCAACTGCTTACCATTGCTTTAGATGCTGGAGCTGAGGATGTAATTGAACCTCCAACATATGAAGATGACACTGAAGAGGATAGGTCAGAAAGTTAATTCTCTGCTATTCTTTTTATTGTGTTTCTCAGTTACAATAGAATTTCTGGTCTTCGTAGGGAAAGATATATGACCTTTTTATTCATGTCTATGCTCCTTCTACAAGATAATAAGGTTGGGACATTTTCTTGCTCTTGGTGGGGGAAACTTGAAACCAGCGATAATGAGATTATCCATTGACTCATTAAACCCCCTTTTTTACCAATTATTGAAGAAGACATTAGCTAGTTTGAGTAAAACTTTACTTTACATAATGTGGCTGAATATGAAAGGTTGATGGTAAAATCATAAATTGATATGCGTGATCAATAATTGATTCAGCATCCATGGATGGAATGCATTATCCACAACTGATTTCCCCAACGACAACAAAAGCTTTATTATACCTTCTTAATTTTCGTAATGAAATCTATGGATAATGATGAAATTGATTATCTGCATTAAAACCCTAGCTACTAACATTGAAAGCGAAGACATTGCAATTGCCTGTGGTCATTTTCCGAATGCTATCCGCAGCAATTCTCATGCTACCATTATGAGAATTGGTACGGGATAAAGGAAATGCTGGTCTCCTATTTAAGTATCTTTTTGAAATAAAAGAAAATGTGAAATATTTGAATAGATAGTTATTGTTGTTCAACTTTTCTAAAATCTGACAACTAAAGTCAATATGAAAAATAGTTACATTACAATTAACAAATATATTTATAAAAATCACATTTTTTTAGGGGTTATTGGATATAAAAGCGTCAAATTTTACATTTGTGTGAAATTGATTCGCTGGGCAGATTTGCTATACATATATAGAGTAAGCATTTCTTACAACATGACGTGATCTTGTTATCTCGCACTTAAATTAGTTTACTAGCTTGGTAGCTTTGATGGCTGTAATAAATCCCAGTCTCTGCTGTTTTGTTTGTTTACACACCTTCATAACAAGGAGAGGATAAAATTGAAGCTTGCCAACTAGATTTTTTATTTTATTTTTTTATTCTTTTCCATTTTGTCAGGTATTATAAGATTGTAGGTTCTTCAGAGAACTATTCATCTATACTATCTAAGCTGCGAGAGGAGGGCATAGATTTTGAGCCTGATAATGGTTCTGAGCTTCTTCCAAATACCACGGTTGAGGTTTGTTTCTACTGGCTAATGCATATGCTATTTCATTTTTTGGATTTTCATTTTCTCCTTTTGGATTCATAATATGGCAAACAATCCTGAATGTGTAACTTTAACCGTTGATATGGTAATATTTAATTTCTAAAATGGTTCGGAGGTGTTGTTTTTTCCTTATTGTTCTGTTATTCTGTCTGTAGCATTTTTACAATTTTGCAGATGTACATGTTATAAACCATCCCTATTATATGTTTAGATTTGGCTTTTTTAAAGTAAGCTAAGGAAATCAACTTTCATATTAGACATGCATAATTTGTTATGCATGTATGTGTAACGTTGAGAGTTGATTTTCTCATCAACGAGATTACTTGCGTTATCCTCTTAAGTGAATTGGTCACTTTGGAGGGACCCAGATCCATTATGTTTATCCTAGGCCTTCATTTTAAAATATTATAGAGAAGTGAAAAATGAGGAGGAATTTTTAAATTCTTTACATTCATCTCCCCCTCTCCCACTTTTTCTTACTTCATCCAGGTGAGATTTTTAATTTTCAAAAGTCTTTTCCCGTTAATTTAGTATATAATCCTGAATCCAAATGTAGGATTGGTGAGGCACATTCTTATGTTGAAAACTATTAGCTGAAGGTTACCAAAGTTTCATGTTGTGAGAATTGCAGGGCTTAATTAAAAATTTTAAAGAACCCTTTCACAGTTGTTATTTTTTTAGAACTGCTGATATATAATTCTGTTAGTCTAATAGTCTGAATTATTAGACATTGCCTTTGCATTTTTTGACGTATGTGTAAAATAGCTACTAATGACCTTAAGCATTATGGGGAGTAGGTGATTCTGTTATATCATATCCTTTAATTCTAGTTTAAGGGTGATATGAATCACAAGGGGTAATTTAAGATCTTTAGGGTTAGAACCTTTTAAGAAATTTAGGAATTTGAAAGAAGGTGGAAGGAAAGAATCACTCTTCCCAAGGAAGGCAACACACAAAGGATGTGAAAGTCCTTTGATACAGCCAAGGGTTCTTGAATCACTCAAGAATTTAGGAGAATCACTCTCACTAAGATAAAAGAGATAAACTCTAATATTTCCAAAAATAAAACTCAACTTGTTATTTCTGATAAAAATGGTTCAGCTTATAAAGAAGTTTTGCCATCAGAGTTACAAATATTCATTAAAGGAAAATAAATGCTAATAATGATTTATTAACCTAAGAATTGAAAACTACGTAATGATTGATTATAACTGAAATTGTGGCATCCAAAAGTCAATCAGCTATGCACCCTCTTGGTCTCCCAAAGACTGATAACTAAATTTCCAATTGGGCCCTTATTACAACTTGCAATAAAACTAAACTAAAGCCCATTAATTGATTAATCCAAAACACAATTTGGCCAACCAACAATATTTGTTGAAAAACTTTCTTTGTTTCCCTTGCTCAAGCCCTTATCATAGGTCATGTTCACATCATTCTCTCCCTCTTGAAAAGGATTTGTCCTCAAATCGGATTCATCATCTACATAAAAAAGAGATAAGTCTGATAAATTGAATGTAGAACTAACATTATACTTACTTTTTATGGCTAAATAGCTTTGTTTCACTTCACGTGTTTCACTCTTCTTTTTTTCTTTCTTTTCTTGAAGAATTTTTTCTCTCATTTTCTTTTTATTCTCCTCTGCCATCAATTTGATGTTCAAACCTTTAAACCGGGGCTCTGAATACCAACTGATATGAATCACAAGGGTTGATTTAGGATCTTTAGGGTTAGAACCTTGTAAGAAATTTAGGAATTAGAAAGAAGGTGGAAGGAAAGAATCACTCTTCCCAAGGAAGGCAACACACAAAGGATGTGAAAGTCCTTTGATACAGCCAAGGGTTCTTGAATCACTCAAGAATTTAGGAGAATCACTCTCACTAAGATAAAAGAGATAAACTCTAATATTTCTGAATAAAATTTCACTTGTTATTTCTGATAAAAATGGTTCAGCTTATAAAGAAGCTTTGCCATCAGAGTTACAAATATTCATTAAAGGAAAATAAATGCTAATAATGATTTATTAACCTAAGAATTGAAAACTACGTAATGATTGATTATAACTGAAATTGTGGCATCCAAAAGTCAATCAGCTATGCACCCTCTTGGTCTCCCAAAGACTAATAACTAAATTTCCAATTGGGCCCTTATTACAACTTGCAATAAAACTAAACTAAAGCCCATTAATTGATTAATCCAAAACACAATTTGGCCAACCAACAATATTTGTTGAAAAGCTTTCTTTGTTTCCCTTGCTCTAGCCCTTATCATAGGTCATATTCACATCAAAGGGGGACTGCTACACACGTAAATATATGATGTAATAACTAGCATGCTTTGACTCCATGAATTACAATATTATGTTTTTCTTTGTCAACGTTTGTCAGTTATCTTCAATTGTATTCTATCCTCAAATGCTGTAGAAATCTCCATTCTCATTCTTTTCGGCATAAGTTATAGAATTCATTATTACTTGTAGCCTTGAACTCTTGTTGCAAATAGACAAAACTCTAGGCAATTAAATGCAGCCTCAAAACCTCGTTGTACTTTGTAAGGATGAGACGGAGCATATCTTTGTTGTGTATTGATGATTATTATAATTGTATTAAAGTCTGTATTCTACTTTGAAAAGTAATTCTATTAATTTTCTAAATAAAAAATTGGATTGTCTATTACTTCTTTTTAATTAGAAAAAGTGGGTTGGGTGAAACCTTTGCCAATTACTCTCGATTTTCCAGGTAGACGATGAGGCTATGGACTTGAACAAGGCACTTATGAGCAAATTACTTGAGCTTGATGACGTTGATGCTGTTTATACAGATCAGAAATAATAATTTTTATATCTTTAAAAGCTTCAGCAGACAACTCAATGTTATTCTTGGACACTGGAAGCTCCCATCAATAATATACCTGGTTTATTTACAAAATGAAAATAGGTTAAATTATTGGGGATTCCTCAGGTGAGTGATTTGTAGATCTGACACATGCACCGTCTAATCTGATTCCTTTTTTTTTTAGTGTGAGGACGGCCAGATGCTTGCTTTATGGGAAGGGAATTTCATTTGAAATTATTTGATTCAAACCCGAGGATGTTTAAATCATGTATCGTCTTATAATACAAACTGAAAAAGTTCAATAATAATAAAACAAGGTAAATCTAGATTCCTTCTGGTTGGGACGCTGATCTCGGAGAAATTTCTTTGCGACCATCTTGAATTTCTGTTGATGTTCGTGTATAATTGGTCGTATTACGTATGAAAAAGATAGTGAAGTGAACTAGTTTTTCACTCATTTTTCATTTTTTTTCATGTAAACCAAGAAACTGAGATATGCCGCCTTAGAAATTTTCAAGATGCGTTTTTATACTAGAACAACCAAGATAGGCATTTTTATACTAGAACACAAGAGTTCTTTACTTCGTAATTTTAAATGATTTAAATGTTTATTTGAGATGGCTAAAATGTTTTATTGATAATGCCAAACTGGTCGATCACGGGATTTGACTCCTCAATTTTTGAGACACGTCTTAATCCTCCTATTCCAAAAGCGTTTTAACAGTTTATCAGCATACTCTCTAATGCTTAATGTTTTGATCAACTGAGCGGGACCAGATGATGGCGCAATCTTTATTATTTCTAATAATGCACTTCTTTTTATTGGTAGAAATTGACATTACTTTATTTATTCTGCTAAATCAACTGAATTAGATCTCCTTTATTCTAAGGATGTATTTTTGCAAAGGGATTTTATTGTGAATAAGGATTGGTAGTCATAGACCCAGTAAAAAAAAATGAGATTGATATAATACATGTAGTACAATATGTACAAAATGCTGAGGGGAAGACGACGAATCCATAATTGCTGCTTTATCATATTGTAGTACATACACAATATTACAGGCATCAAGGATCACTATGTACTTAGGATAGTTGCATACTATATTGTATAGGTGTAATGCTTCCAAGTTGCGTCGTTTTCTTCGATCAGACACAATCTTCAGTGATGTTGTTACTCTTTTGGAACCCAACATCCATGCAACCCATATGGAAGTCCATAAGGGAACTTGGCCCTAGCAATCTCTTCAAAACTGGAACCATCTAACAGCAACGCATACCCTTCTCCATTTTTCTCGCTGACTATGGAGATTACCACGCCTGCCATATCAGAGAACGATAGTTGCAGGCCAATTGTAATAAAGAACAAGAGGGGCGTGAAAAATAATGCATGCATGTTTGAATTAACGGATTTCTAACCATCATCTTCCTCTGTTGCTCCTGGTCGTGCCACAAACAATGGTTCTGAGGGCACAGTACCTTCTTCATGCCAGTTCTTAGCCTTTTTCAATCCTAAATCAAGCTGCACATATATTACTTATCAAAGCACATTCAACTAATATATATAGGTCCGGAACCAAAGATAAACTTGGACAGAAAGTTTAAAAGGCCTAAATATTAAACCAAACCTTGGTGAGAGTGTTGGGAAAGTTACAAGGTCGCTGTGCTCCACAAGCATAGGCATATCTGTACTTCTTCCCTAGATGACCAGGGTTTATGCTGCACATGTCCATGCCTCTCCCATGTTCATTTGGGTCCAATGCCGCCTCTAATGTTCCACATGGACTTCCATCCAGTGGTATTCTAAATCTTCCAACCCTGTTATTCAATATTAAGTAAACCATAAAGTATGTCGTATGTGGTATATGATCAGTAAACTAAGGCTAAGATATCCATATATCAATTACCTTGCATCAGGTAGAACATCTTCACCATTAAAAGAACGAAGGTTCTGTAACCTAAGCTTATCAAGAATGGTAGTATCCGAATTATGCTCGCAACAGTCGGCAATAATGGCCGTCACCCTCCCATCTTCATCTTCCTCCTCATACGCATTAATGAAATGGAAAGTAACAAACAGAGGCACTTCCACACTTGCCACCTTCAAATCACACATACCCAGACATAATCTATCATTAATAAAGTCCATAACATGGAAGATAAAATCAGTGAAGATAAGTAATTAACTAACTTACAATATTTCCGCTAGTCTTGCACATGACATGCATAAAAGCTTTAGACTCGGGGTGCCACTCAAACTTGTACAAAGGAGTAGGCTCAGCCTTGAGCAGATTCTGAGCACAGTACCTCAACGGCATTTCAGGCACAACAACATAGTGTTCGGTGACCGGAAAAGAGTGAACCCAACCGGGTGAAGGCCCGCCCCGACAATTGACCCGCCCAATTACCCTCCTCTCATTGGTGCCAGGCTCCATCCTCACAACAAGGTACCCTGCTCTCACCAAATCCGGCAACAACGTCACAAACTCCTTATCCGTCACAACAGGGTGCGCAGAGTGAAGCAGACCCCCCAACGAGTCACTGTACTCGAACTTCCCCACTGTTTCCAGCGTCTCGGGGTCAATCACAATCGACCCCTTCTGCGTCTCCGTCAGACAAACCACCCTCCCATCTCCCAGCTTCACCACGCCGGTGTTCGCGTTGTCCGTCAGCGACGCGCCGGAGAACAGGCTGGCAAGCTCCCCCACGTACGCCAGGAAATTCGCCGCCTTAGGCACTTCCGAAAACTCGCGGTAGCATATCTTCTGGTTCTTCTTCGCCGCTCGGTACGCCTCCGATTCAAGTTGACTGTGGCCGGCGACTAACCGACCGTTCTGGAATCGGAGTTTCACCAGCGTGGCGTAACCGTCGAAGAGGTGGCGGAAGTTGTAGTCCCCTATGTGCCACATCCCAGGCCCATTCCTCAGGTACGTTCCTCTCTGCATGTAATCATTCATATTCATTTATTTATTATTATTTTGCTTCCAGTTTCCACCGTCTACCTCTATACTCAACTGCATCTTATTTATAACGAAAACGTCAAGAATCATCATTGTCCAAGTAACAAAATCAAACGAAAAAGACATATACATACATACATACATATATATATATATATAGAGAGAGAGAGAGAGAGAGAGAGAGAGAGAGAGTTATGTAGTCAACAAAATGACGTTTGCGTATACATGAGGTTGTAGGCGTCTACATGGAATATACCAACCACTGATGATGATGAGGATACATATTCAAAGATCCTTTCATGTTGAATTATTATTTGTTTTTAATATATTGCAATCAGAGTTTATTAAAAAGGGTCAGATATATAGAAATTTCTGACACAGACTTTTTTGTTATTTTAATGTGCTTGTTTTAAATTAATTATATATTAATATACTTTTATTGGTTTTTCATTCTCTGACGTTATGACCTAGGCATAGTTTTATTGATTATTATATTATTGTTTCTGTAGTTTTATAATGAACTGTGAAGCTCCTCCCGGAGAGAAAAAAGAAGCTTTGTTCTGTGACAAGAAGATATCTTGTTGTTCTACAACTTTGCTTTTGTACTTATGGTAACTCATGTAAATATTATAGGTTACATGTTAGTAATATTTAAAACTATACATAAAGAGAAGGATGAGGGGTAATTTGATTTGATGTGATGAGCATGAAGTATATGAAGACTTACCAGCCACAGTGGTATGTGTCCTTCAACTTGTAACTCTCCTTCCCACTTCTCCTGCGAGATACTAGTCCATGCAACATGCTGCTGCTGCTGCTGCTGCTGGCGGTCGCCGGTGGTTCCTGGTTGCTGTTTCACCGGTGTTGGTGGGGCAATCACGGGTAAAGATGAACTTGCAACATTTGCAAGAGTTAAGTCTCGGAGATTGCGTTTCCCTTTATAGCAGAAGAATTTATTTGGAAGTAAAATATTATAGTTATGATTGGGAACAAGCGCAGTTGGCCAGGAAATGGAGGTTCTAGGTGAAGGCAAGGTTGAGAAAGCCATGGAAATGGAAAAGAAGAGGAAAATTGAAGCCTTTGGCGTTTATGGGTGAGGAAGAATGAATGCATATTTATAGGACAGTATTGGGAGATGAAGTGATTTGTGAAGATGTAATTTGGTGAATGGGAATCTTGGATTGGTGGAATTCCTTTTCACTACGGGACATGCTTTGTTTTTTCTCCACTCCTTACTTTAATCAATGCATTAAATTATACTTATTTTCATTGAATACCCAAATATAAGACACAAAAATTATCATATTTTAAACTAAGCTTTACAATGCTAATATGGGTTATACCAGGCTTTTGTAAAACCTATCTCAAATTCAGTATATCGGTAGTTTTAATGCATCAATCTATCTATCCCCAGTTTTAAGATAAAAGATTTTTTATACCCCAAATTTTTAAACTAGTAAACAATTTTTAAATATTATTTTTTTTATTAATGTAAAGAAAATGAAATAAATAAATAAGTAATAATATAAAAATCTTAAATTGATTGTTAAATAAATGTGTGGAAAAAGTGGTTTTTCAATGTATCTAATTCTAATTTTAATACGTCAGGCTATTTTATCTGCGAATTTAAGAATGAGATAGAATTAAGTAATCTATTAACTATTTAAAAAAAATATTTACATATTAAAATTTAAATAAAAATTATAATTAAAATATTATATTTTTATGTGATTTTATTAAAATATATAAATATATTATAATAAACCATAAATATTAACTAGTTAAGTTTAAATTATTTATTACATAATTAAATATTTTAATACAAATATAATATTTTTAAATTTATCTAATAAAATATTAATTAATTAATAAAAACTTAAAAAATATTTATATAATTAAATATTGATTTTAAAAAAATACTTATAAAAAATTATATATATAAAAATATTTGCGAACTACAAATTATAGTCCATCTTGATTATATAAATTTTTTGTTTAATTTGGCCATATTGAACTAATTAATCATTTTTACCTAAT